CGCTACTTCCCTGCACAACGCAGTCACAGACAGCGGCCGGGAGATGCGCCAGCGGTTGTACAATGCATCAGGCACATGTGGCGCATGCATGCACAGTTGCGCGTCCGGCGCAGAGGGACTGCACGGCAGCGGATTTTCGCTGCATGGCTTAGCTACTTTAGGTTCAAACAGGCTTCCAGGGCGGTTCGGCGGGAAGGCAAGGTGGCTAGGAGACGTTGGCTTGAGGAACAAATTGCCGAAGCGGACGCGGCTGCTGATAAGGGTGACATGCGTACTGTCTACAAGATAGTGCAGTCCCTTGCCCCCAAGCGGAAACGGGATGCGGTTCGTATCCGAGGGCCACAAGGTCAGCTCTTGGATCAGCAGGAACAATTCCAGGCCATCTTTGACTACTTTAGTAGTGCCTTCAGTAGCAAAGAAGAATTCTCCCATTCCACTCAGTATCTTGATCCGGAGTTCTCACAGCTCGAGGTTAAGGATGCCATCTGTAGAATGCGCAACCAAAAGGCGGTCCCTGCGCTTAGTCCGGCCGCAGAGGTCTGGAAGTGCTGCCCAGATGCGTTTGCCACCTTTTTCTTGCAACAGTTCCAAGACAGTCGTCGACAGCAACAGCCCCTGCCACCCCAGATGAGCGATTGCACATTGACCCTACTCCCGAAACCCCATAAACCCAGTCGTCTCCCTTCTGACCTTCGACCCTTAGGACTCCAAGACCCCGCGTCGAAGGTGTTGGCGAGCCTGATCAAAACGCGGCTACTAGAGCAGGTTCGTCCATGGCTGCTCACGAAGCCTCAATTCGCCTATTGCGAGGGCAGAGCTCTGGATGAGGCGGTTGCTAGGGTTTTTCAACACTGTCGAGTCATCAGACAACGACTCAAGGACGGTGCCGATAGCGTGCACGCCCGCCGAGCGGGGGTTAAATCGACTAAGTGCATAGGTGGGCTAATGATTAGTCTTGATCTTAGTCGTGCTTTTGACACTGTCACACGAGCAGCTCTGTCCCAGGCAATGGAAGCGGCAGGAGTCAGCCCTGACTTGCGTGAATTAGTGCTTGATCTCCACGAGCAATGCCACTACTCCGTTCGTCACGGCCGTGCTGAGGGCCGTTTCAGAATGGAATGTGGGGTGAGACAAGGGTGTGTCCTTTCACCTTTATTGTACTCCATATTCACTTGCTGGTGGTTTGACATGTTAGTAGAGCGCACTAGCAGGTCCTGGGCAGAGGAGTTTGTCACAATGTATGCGGATGACACGTTGCAACAATGGGCCATTTCTTGTGTCGCTGACCTACATGAAGCTGGACGGTTCGTGCGTGCCACTTTTGCGTTGCTTGCGGAGGTAGGAATGACTGTAAATGCTGCAAAGTCTAGAGCTGTGATCCGTTTGCAGGGCTCCGAAGCCAAGCGTTGGTTGCGTGCACATGTACAACGCACGCCGCGCGGGCCTGTGTTGTGTTTCGGCACTCCTACGCAGCCTCTGAACATTCCACGTGTTCACAGCCTGACATATCTAGGAGTTGAGGCCTCTTTCACGAGTTTCGAAATGCAGACCTGTGCGCTCCGACAGCGCATGAGCATCCAGGTGAGACACCGCCTTACCAAGCTACTGCACTCTTCCAAACTTCGCTTGTGTCATAGGGTGGCGCTCTACAGGGCCTGCGTCCGTAGCTCACAGCTGTTCAGTCAACACGCGGTGGGTCTTACCCGGGCTGTCATGCGTCGCCTGGAATCTGCAGATGCTAGAGCACTGCGTGCGGTTGCCCGCAGCCCGGCACACCTCCTGCATGAGAGCAGCCAGGCACTGCGACGTCGGTTGGGGATCTGCTCACCGAAGGAAGCACTAAGCCGGCTTCTTCGGAGTCGGGTTAGACGCTGTCCTGATGAGCATAGCTGTCGTATCTTTAGGGACATCCAGGCTGGTCTTGAATATAATGATGCCTGTGACGAGTGTGTGCCTGCTGGCGTCAGCCTGCTGGCGGTCGAAGCGGACTGCGATATCTTTTGCCCAGAATGTGGGCAACAGTTCGGGCACATGCGACATCTTTTGTCGCACATTGGCCGCAAACACCCTGAGCTTGCCCGTAACCCCGACCTCAATCACCTCGCCATGCCGTATGCGACTCACCTCCTAGATGGCATGCCCACATGTCGACACTGCCTTCGCCAGTTCAAACGGCATGAAGCACTTAAGAAGCACCTACGTAGAGCCTGTCCTGTCTTGTATGGCCATAGAGCACGTGCAGTCGATACAGCTCCCGGCGGGAAGGTACCGCCGGCGAGTGGAGAGCCCTCACAGGGACCCACGGGTCGGACTCTCCCTGCTGCTGATGTGCCCGAGCCACTTTTTCAGGATCTTGAATTTCGCAGGTTGCTTCGACAAAACTGGAAAAGACCACTCCAGCATCCTTGCTTTGTTAGCAGCTTGCGTCAGTACTGCGTGTTCTGCAGACAGTGGATATCCATGCTTGGTCCCGGAGCTAAGCAACACATCCGCCTTGCGCACCCGCAATATTGGCTGCATAAGCAAGCGGCAGCTGCTCGGTGCACAACCCTTGGGCTCATCTGCCGCTCTCCTTGCGCTTACTGCTCGCAGACAGTCAAGGACCCTAGGGCACACGTTCCTCGCTGCAGTGCAGTGTTTCAGGCCTCCATTGCAGGCATTGTTCTCTGTCAGGATCATGACGGATACCCAGACCGAGGAGGACCAGGCGATGCAGTCTCGCAGGGAGTTCTCGGAAGTCTTTGGAGGGCTGCCTCCGGGGACCACCCCACCCAAGCGGGGGGCGGCGACCGAGCAGCCGGAGCCGCACAAGCACTACAAACCGGGATCCAAAGGACACCCGGCGGGCAAGGGCAACGAGAGCGGATGGCGACAATGGCCACAGAATCGGCAATGGGAGTCGGACGAGGCGCTCCCGGATGCGGGTACGCAGGCGTTGCTGCGGACGATGACGAAGCTGCTACTACGCCACGAGGCGGAGCTGGGGCGCATTCGCACTTCCACGACGTGGATGGCCTTCATCGATACCCAGGAGGAAGCCGCGCTCCCGACGCTGAGACGCACTGCCGCCAACTGGCAGGCCAAGTTCGAGGCGAAGCAGGTGGACACCAGTCTGAAGGTCTTCATGTTCATGGCCATGGTCAAGGAGATGGGTCGCCGGCTCGAAGACATCACTCAAAACGAGGAGCAGTTGACTCGGGCAACCAATGTGGGGTGGATGGAAGCGGGCGCGACTGCGGGAGCTCCCAACTGGATTTACCAGCAGTGGAACCCACACCTGCGCACAGTGGAGCGTGCGGACCGGCCGCCGCTCGGCCACCAGGAGGCTCTACAGCACCTGAACACCCTGCTGAAACTCGGCGCGCACCCGGGAGTCGTGACGGCTTTCAAGGCGATGCGCGATCTGGAGGCCCAACACACCTCCGAGGTCGTACCGTTTATGATCTGCTTAAGCTTGCGCGGTCGGCAGGCGGATCAGTGTCACGAGGCCTTGGCAGCGCTGGAGGGCAATGCTTGCCTGAAGCTCTCAGGGGTCCGGCTCCGTCCGGACCGGGGACAGAAGGCCCAGATGGTCAAGGACCTGGAGCAGCAATATCTGGCCCTGCCATACACGGACTGGACAGCCCGTGCGACCACATGGGCTCGGAAAGAGCGCTCCGGGAAGACCGACTGGAAGTAGGCGCAGCGGCGGGGCATGTTGTGGCGGCTAGTGCTCAAGACCCACCTGCGTTACCTAATGCCAGGTTGCAGAATCGTAGCAATATCTGCTACCTCAACTCTGCTGCACAGGCTCTTGCCTGGCTTGGCAGCCTCACCGCTGAGCCTGCATTGTGTCACGGCAGAGCGCGGACTGCGCTACAGATCGTACTGTCCCCAGATCGGTCTTACTTGCCGGAATGCTTGCCATGGGCACAGTTCCTTCGCGGGTGGAGTGGATTGCACAGACAGCAGGACGTTTGTGAGTTTATCAGTCATTTCTTGGCGCGTGCTGACCCTGCTGCATTTAGTGGGCGGTGGGAAGCCAGGCTGAGTCTCCCCCATGTCTGTGTGGAATCAGGTTCTTTGCTGACGCCACTCCCGGTTGAGGTTGCAGGCAGGACCCTGTCTGCTATCATACAGCGGTGGCACCGACAACATGCCATGTTTGCTATTGCTTCGTCTGCTGGGGTCATACTCCTGCAATTAAAACGATATACTGTGATAGCTGGCACCACCCGTAAACTCACGACCCCCGTTGCCTGCAGGCCTGGCGAAATCGTGAGAGTGCCACACTTTCGGGGCTCACAAGGCCTTGAGGTTGCAATGCTGCCGTACAGAGTGGCCTTTGTGATCTTTCACGTTGGAGCGGCAACCAGTACTGGGCATTATCAAACGGCCCTCTGTAGATGTTGCAGTGCTGCCTCAAGTGTAGGGGATGGGGCTTCTGCGGCTTGGGCATTTTACATCTGTAATGATCGACAGCGGCCTAGGCCTGCACAAGCAAGGGATCAAGCCATTATTGATCGCAATGCCTATGTTATCGGGTTGATTAGGTCCTCTAGTCCCGACCCTGACCCTCCGCCACTCTAACATGTGATCCCTGTAGCCCTCGGCTGCTGTCCCCAATGCCGCAGAGTACAGGGGAGTGCTGCTGCCGAGACATGCGACAGGCGCTGCATAAATTCCAGTGCGATATGCATCCTATGTACAGTAGTTAATGCACCTGCTTTTCGAAGAAAGTCCCTCTGATCGCTGATCGTTGCTCGTCCAGTGCATAGCCTGGCTCCAGCTCACCCCCCCCCCCCCCCAGTAGCCCGGTGCGTTCCTTTGCACATCGTTGTCGTGAGCCCAGATCCTTTGCAACAGCCTGTGCTGCACATCGGGCACAGCATTGTGGCAGTCCATGCTCCCATGTAGGGACTTACTGCACGGGTTCATGTACAAATGTGTCTTGCATCTTCTGCTCACCGCTGGCGGGCTTCAGCTTGCGTGCAGGTCCATCACCCGGACAGTTCGTTGCCATGATACATGAGGTCGATCTACCACCGGCGGTGTACGCGGACATGCTGGAGGGATGTTTGCTGCATGAAGCCCTTCATAGGCTTATGCGTGAGACTCCGGAACGTGCAGAGCGTGCAGAGCGTGCTGTGCCGAGCATCGCCAGCATCGTGGATCGTAATACCTTACTTTTGATGGCTCGTGACCTGCTCGATGAGGAGTCCTACGTTGAGTTCGGCTACTATGCGGATGAACTCTGCAGCTCCATCCAGGGCAAGTGGGACCGTGTTTTTCCGTATGCACCCCCCGTGGAGGAGGAGGAGGAGCGCACACTTGCGGGCGAACCTGCGGGCACGCGGCGCAACGCACATCCTGCGTCAGCTGCGGAGCGTGTGGCAGTGGATCACCTGGGTAGCATCCATGGCTCATATTGGGGCGCAGTTCGTGATGTTGTGGCCAAGCTGCCCTTCACGAGTGCCAATCGCTCATGCCATGAACGCCCCGGTCAAGTCTTCTTTGTGGGCGCCTATGGGCATCACCGTTACACTGGACTCCACGCCTCCACTTTGTTGCTGCCCTCGGCCTGCAAATTGCTTTGTGCCTTCATTCAATACGTGTGCCCGAAGCTGCAGTGGACCACCATCATGGTATCGCGTAACACACAGTTGGAGCCGCACGTTGATGCGCAGAACGCGGCCTTACCCAGCATGATCATGGGCCTGTCCTTCTTTCAAGGGGGCCAGCTCTGGATCAAGGATCCCACAGGTTGCCATTTTGAAGAAGTCAAGGGCTGCCTAGTCCCAGGACAGCTCCTCGAGCTTAGTGGTCGCTGTTATATGGTCTCCACGCATGTCCTGCCGCACAGCACCAGACCATGGAGTGAGGGCGATCGCTATGTCCTGGTGGCCTACGCTATCGGCCAGCACAAAAGCTTGAAGTCCGTGCATCGGACGGCGTTGGAGGATCTCGGATTCAGATTGCCGCCGTGTGCCTAGAGTTCGCTGTGTCACATTTAGTACCGGTGCATCTCAATGCCGTGCAATGCCATGCAAGGATCCTTTGTTACTCCAGCTGCTTTTTGTTCCCAAGCCCGCGGTGTTCGGGTTGGTTGGTGTTTGGGTTCCTTAGTGGTCCTCAATCCCCCCATGCTTCCCCCATGCCCCCCCCCCCATGCTTCCCTATGAATGCCATTGTATCTTCGTCCTAGCGGGGTCGCATTCACTGCATTTCTGTTGCAACAGCATCCGCGGAGCGGTGGCTGTTGACGCCTGCTGAGTCGGGGCACGGTGCACAAAATAGCGCGGTGACTCGTGCCCACAGGCATGCCAAGTGCTGAAATATATGGTGATTCTTAGTATGCCGTGTGATGCCTGAGGCCTGTGATGGCTTCATCAACCGCGGCGCCGATGCCGCAAGCCTCCGCTGGACAGGATGCCTGGCAATGTCAGTCCAGGGAGTGTCGAACGGTGGGTTGCGTGCTTCGCTTTGTAGCAGTCCTGCACCAACATTGCTGCTCTCTATGCAGCGCTACTCGTGGGGGCGCACATACGCGCCGATGCAACCGGCACCAGCGCTGGCTTGCTCGGTGCAACCGTGGGGCGCAACCGAACTTTCGTGCTGGCATTGCTGTGACGGGATGCTCCTCTGCTGATTGCAGGCGACATGCAGGACCAGGGCATACGACATGCTGCAGCGCTTGCCGTGGCACAATGGGGCGACGACATACAAGGCGATGCGACACACAACATGCTGCCATTCCGCAGATGCAGGGCTTCGGTGCTGCTTTTGGGGGCGATTCGACCGCCTCGACGGCCTCGGCCTCGGCCTCGACAACACATGCAACAGCGGATGCCGTGGCGGCGGTGCAATCAGTGCCTGTGCTCTGGGATGCAACAGCGACGATGATGGTCCAAGCGAGTGCTGCTGAGCATACGGATGCTTTGGATGCTACTTCCAATACGGTGGTCTCGGCTTTGATCCTCAACACCAGTGTGGATGATGCCCGTATGGACGATGCTTCGCAGTCGCAGTTGCCGAGGGAGTCAGGAGTGCTGGAGTTCAACTTCGATCAGATGGATTAGTCACTAGTTGTCCGAAGGAGTGGCAATGGCCATGCAGCTTCTAAGTTGCCGAGCGTTATACGCTTGTCCTCGTTTTGCATCAGACACCGGTGCGGCGATCATGAATGAATGAATACTACTACTACTACTACTCCTACTACTACTACTACTACTACTACTACTACTACTACGACTACTACGGCTATTGATACTTTTACCGTTACAACTGCTCGCCACTGTTGCAGCAACAACCACAACAACAACAACAACTACTACTACTACTACCACTACTCCTCCTACTCCTGCTACTATTACTACTACTTTATACAGAATTTGCCCCATCATAGAAATGCGCGGTAGGCTGGGTAGTTGTTGCAAGGGGGGGTCGTCAGGTAATGTCAGGTATTGGATCTGCGAACTGCAGAGGAGCTTTCATGGTTTTGGAAAGGATTTAGTGGCAATGTTGTCATGGGATTCAGCAGGGTTTTATGAGGTTTAAGGGTTTAATGGGGTTTTGAAAGAAGTTGTCTGGGATTTTCAAGGGTTTTCATTGGATATCGAACGTTTCAAAAACAATTTGGAAGGAGTTTGAAGGGTTTTTATGTGATGTCGAAGGGCTTCAGTGGGATTTTGAATGGCTTTATTGGGTTTAATGGGATTTTGCAGGGTGGGGGTTGGAAGGGTTTTGATGGTGTTTGGGATGGTTTTAAACGGTTTTCGTGGTATTTGGAAACGATTTAGAAAGATCTCGAGCTGAAGCCCTTCCGCCGCATCTCAAAATGAGAAGACCGGAAGCTCTTAAGCGTAGACAAGCGTGAACACTGGACACTGTTTGTGCTCTGATGAAACGAATCCGTGGAAATGCCTTGAAAATCCTTCTACATCCCAGGGAAATCCGCTGAAAACCCTGCAAACTCCCATTGAAATCGTCGGACATCCGCTAAAATCCTTGCAGGTCCCCTAAAATCCTCGGAAATCATCTGAAAATCTTTGGACGTCCTCTGCAAATCCTTCAGAGCTGTACACCATAGCCACTGTGTTGGTGTTGTTGTCGTTGTTGTTGTCCTTGTCGTCGTTGTTGTTGTCGTCGTCGTCGTTGTCGCTGTCATTGTGGTCGCTGTTGCGGTTGCTGTTGTTGTTGCTGTTGTTCGTGTTGTTTGTTGGGAGCTGGGGCAAAAAACAACATGACCCGGCCCCTGTTCTTGCTACGACCTAATGTACAGACAACAAACAAATATGTGTATGTATGTGTATACGTATATATATATATATATATTTATAGACAGGGCTGCAGTTTTTGTTTGTGCCTTGTTGTTGTTGCTGTTGCAGCTGTGGCTGTGGCTGTTGTTGTTGGTGGGTCATTGTGTTCTTGATCTTCTTAATACTAATTAGTACTATTATTGTTGTTTTCGTTGTTCTTGTTCTGGTTCTTGTTGATGGTTGTGTTGCTGTTGCTGTTGTTGTCGGTGGTGGTAGTGGTGGCGGTGGTGGTGGTTGCTTTAATGTTGTTTCGGTGTGCGTTGTTGTTGTTGTTGCTGCTGTTGTTTCGTGCAGTAGTAACAGTAATAGTCATCGTACTAGCACGAGTGTTGGTACTAGTAACAGTGATTGTACAACCGAACGGCGTTATCTTCTTTAAGGTTTTTTGAAGTGGGGCAAATGCGCACGCCATTTGCGAACGGTTAGCATCATGCACAACCGAAGTAGAGGGGGCACAAACGGCAGACAAACATCAGTGTATCTCCAGACCCCGTTCAATGCAAAAAGGCCGACACGGCAGGTGTTGCACCTTTACGCCGGAAGGCCCGACACGGCTCAACTTGCAGGAGCACCATGGAGCACTCAAAGGGGTTCGTTGCTTCAAGTTGCAGAAGGCCAATCAATGCACGACAAGGAAAATCAACGAAAAGTCTTCGCCAAGCTGCAAAAGGTACCTGGCCAGGGGCATATGTCACCTGCCAGGACAAGGTGTGACGCAATGTCGCGACGCGATTAAATCTTACCGTGCTGCTCCAGCACCGCCTTAGCCGCAAGGCTTGCAGGCTTGAGGCTGGACTCGCCGGCGGAAGCCCCGTCCTAGACTCGTTCTGTACAGCTGGACAGCTATGCCTAGGGACTCAACCCACATCGAAAATTTAGCCCGACTTGCGCTTCCCAGACGTGTCATCCTCCGGAACATGCTTTGCTTGCTCTTTTCTGTTATTCTCAGACTTCCGTCGTGCAAGGCGCCGTAGGCGCTAGTAGCAACATCATTTCACTGCTGAGATGGCTGCTGTGCTGAGTTTCCCACTACGCGGCTACAGTACTTCACATGTTGCCTGTCCTTCCTCTCCAATACGTCCGTCATCATGTAGTTCTTGAAGTGGCGAAGGAGAGTGACTTTCTTCTTCAGCTCCTTCAGCTTCAGCTTGGGCATTCGGCGCGTGAGCGGCACAGGATGACTATCCACTCGAACTAGCAAGGCAGCATGTCAAAGACCATGCAACTCACAGGCTCTGGGTAGGCCTCTGGGTAGGTGTCCCAGTGATAGGTTGTCCGTTCCTCGGCCTTTTCTTGCGTCCGGCGCCTTGGCAAGTGAAAATGGGAATGGGCATCCAAAGACTTCGAACAACGCTGGACTGGACTTGGCCAAAAACCGGTTCTGGCGCTGTTGCCAGCCGTAGAAACAAAAGCACAAGCCGCGTCCCGCATCGACACGCGGACACTATTCGACTCGCTACCGCTCGAGCAAGCCTACCCGACAGATCATACAGAATTTGTAGACCGTGTGCCGTAGATGCCACAGCAAAGCTCTGCCATGCTCATGCTTTCGCCTTGTGTTGGTTGTGCCAACCAGCTGCAGGCAGACAACCCTCAGTCTATGCCACAGCTCCGTCGAGGATGTTGCCGCAGCCAGTCAGACAACGAGGCTGGTTTATCAGCTCGACGATATCACGCGCAATCGAGACAGGGGAAACCTCCTCCTGCAGACCTCGACGTTGGAATCCTGCAAACGCACATGCAGTCCAGGGCTTTATGAGAATGTCGGGGTCACCATGTCATGAATCCGGCCAACTGCCGCAAGGTCAAGAAGGACGTTGCGTTGACACACAGGCAGTCATAGCACGACCCTGAAAGGTGCCGCAGCTCAAGTTCAGAACCGGTGGTGACCGATAGTGTGGTTTATTTAGTCTGCGAGGCTGCACCAGCGCATCCTTGGAGGGGAAGCTTGGTCAAAGACTGAAAAAGCATGAAAAAGCGATTCTAGGGCTGGGTCTGTACGCCACGTTCTTCCCATGCACGGAGTATTTGCATCTTCCGGACCCTGTCCCCGAAGAGTCGTTGTAGTGTGGCCCTGTCGTGGGACGGCCGGAGGTTGTGGCACATGTGCTGCGGCTCAGAAGTTTCAGAAAGCTGTGGACAAGCACAAAGAAACCAACGAATGCCAGCGATTAGCAGAGACAAGCAGAACACATACCACACGAACCACCCAACTCAAACCTCCAATCTTTGACTGCTTGACAGGGCACAAAGAACTTATGCTTCAGCAGACTGTAAGGCCGGAACGTCACATAGTCAAAGTGTGTCCCACCTGGCACCTCAAAGAATCAAACCCATTCCTTGGTGCCTGTTATGCTACGGAGATTGAGCACAGGGCCAACACAATCTTTGTGGAATCATTGAAGTGGACTCCGATGGAGCCGTCCGACAGAACATATCCGACACCATACCTCACATGCAGGATTTCGACAGCTCTCGCTTTGTTTGCCACTCTGATACTACATGTAACGGAGAGAGCCACTGATCTGCTGTGCTTGCTCACTTCGCTCGGACATTTTGTTGCAGCTGTCTCGGTGCATGACTTGCTTGCGTAGTCCACCCATTTCGTAACCTCAACACACTAGCTGCCATGATTTTCAAGCGTCAAATCCGCAGCCCACTTGGAACCAGCTGAGAAGTTGACCCAAACATCCGGCAAACTCGAACTGATTTCCTGCGCAGGGTCGTGCGGCAGTAGAACGGTGCAAGCCAACACGATCCAACACGGCCGTCGAACTAACTAACTAACTAACTAACTAACTAACTAACACACACACACACACACGCACACTTAAAATTGGCTGTTTGTTCTGCTGCATCTGTGTTTGGGGTTTTGATTTGAATGGGACTCGAGGCTCTGTCCTAGACTTAGACATGCCTGTGGAAACTGCAAGAACATGACTGCAAGGACATGTCTGCACGGAACGTCGCACTGCACTGAACACTGCACATCTACCGATGACTTTTCCAAGCTGCCACAGCGTGACCCTCAAGCAACTCTTTTGTAGGGACACAAGAGTGATCAATTCTCGCTTGCCACTCATGTCCACAGCTTCGATGCATGCGGTAGGACATGACTGCCACATGCCGGGCAACTCCTTGTTTCTTAGCCGTCTGATACAGGGTACACACATATAAGCGGGACAGCGACGACGCAGAATCTCGGTCCTCGAAGAATACACACCCTCAAGGCTATAGAAAACGACAATTCAGATATCAACAACATGACCCACCAGTCTGCAATGCTTGAAACATGCTTGAGACCAACGCAGCAACACGATCAAGGTCTCGCCTGTGTTCGATCAGGCCGCTCAGATCTAGCCCGATGACTCTCTTTCGCTTGAGTCTCGCGATCGCGAGACTGCAGCATTTGTGGCACCTGCCACTTCTGACTTCAAAACTTCAGCGGCCCTCTTGCAGCATCTCAGCCTTCCGAGCTGATGCCATCGGGCTCACCAATGCCTACAGCACGATGCAAACATATCGAGATGATGTTGGAGCTGCAAAAGCTTGAGAAGAAGCTTCTTTGGCTCGGACCTCTTGCCGGGGGGTGGCCTGTCACCCACACAACACAATGTGACGTGTGTGTCGGTCAAGCCTGGAGCCTGAAACCGCAAGATGGATGGGGCACCATCAAGGACGTGAACACGTCCTAGTTGAAGAGAAACCGTGAGTACAATTCCACGGGCTTGACCGCACTGCTTTGTAATTATAAGGTGGGCAGTCGTATCGCAAGTGCTCTCACTGAGTTCTAGGGGCACCCTTCCGCGGCGCAACTGCAACTTCTTCCTCTGACAAGGCGAGTCGATGACTTTGACACGACACTGGCGTCTTGCCTCCAACCGCAGTGCCGGGGACGAACCTGCATCCTGTCGGTGTCACGGGTTGTCGTGGGCTGGCCGCAGTGTCTTGCCATCTCAGCGCAAGGCGGTGCAGGCCACACGTGGCGATGGCCGCCTGTGGCGTTTGCATCTCTGACAAGCATCCCGAGACCCTGAACGCATTTCGGGCCTGCACTTAGCCTCTCCTTCAAAGATATGCTTGCATGCATTGACATGCATTGACATGCATTGCCTTGTCGCCTTGCTCGAACCCTCAATTTGCAAGAAGAGGGCTTCGGGTCTTTGCCCCAGTTTACAATGTGCACCTGGCGCTGCAGCTGCCAAATTCCAGCTCACCTGCACCTGCTAGCTGAGCAGGCATGTCCTTCAACTCTACTACGAATGCTTTGTGTTCTGCACGCGTCTTGGCACTTCTGGCCTGGAACACCCAAAGCGGTAGCTGTGGGGCTATCGAGGATCCTCACAGATTGGGACATCCCCAGGCAGAGCAGGCATCTTCTCGGCACAAGACGAAAACTGAACCGAAGTGTTTGTGTCCTTTTGCTGCATCCTGGCCCCGAAACTTGCTAGACATGTTTTGTGTACTTACAAGTATGTCTATGAATTTGTCTCAATCAACACTTGTCCTCGGGCCTCCAATTTATTTCGCCTTGGTTTGTTAGGGGTCGCCTGCGCATACTGTTGTCACCCTCACTTTCAGCTTCCAGTATTTCCTTCACTCACATGGTCTATGTGAAGGTAAACACCTGCAATGCGCAAGGCGTGAGTACAGATTTTGATGGCACGTCGTGGCAGTGCCGAGGCTTTGGCAACCCTCACAGAACCTCTGCCGCAGAGGACGACCACGTGTGATGCCGATGCTTCTGCAACTCAATAATTGTCGACAAAAACAGTTGTGGCATCCCTTAGGGCATATTTAGAGCAAGACATCCAAGGCGAAACTTCCAACGTTTGCGCAACGAACTGTCGCTACTCCACGATGACATGTTCAAATCCCAGGTCGAAGTGAAGTGATTGCAGAACAAGGAGGTTTGCCCTACACTCAGACGAGGAGTTGAAGTGTTCTGCCACGTCCGCCACACCCCACAAGATTTCAAGCCGATGTTCGGCAATCAACATTGCCACAAACAGATCCATTTACTCAAAATGTGGAAGACCACATGGACCGAATGCGTATCCGAACAAAGAAGAGATACGGGAGAAGGCCTAACGCCTCTGCAGGATCGGGTGATGGAATGTTGGGGTATGGGCACGCTCGATGCGAGTTTTAGGCATGCGTATGGCCCACTGTTCTGAGAAGGAACTCCTTCACTTTTCTCACATGTCACCGTCCGGTCATGTCGGAAGGCGCGTCCGCGTAAGCATAGCAACATTCCATTATGGCTTGTCCGATTGTCCATGTTTGTCCTGAATCAACCACGCAGAGGTGCCAGAGCATCGCGAAGCGTTGGTCATGTGTGGAGGTCCGTCTGACTGAAGTAGTCTATCACAAGTATTGCGCCAGACCACTTCTCACGCCGACTTTGCTGCTGCATTCTGCGCCAATGAATTGCGAGGTTTCACCACAAATGCAGAAGCCAGCAGAGACCCTGGCCTGGCGCTGTCGCCAAGCCTGCGAACGCATGCATGTCCAATTCATGGTTGCCAGTCGCCCACATACAGATCAAGGACCCAGAGAGCGTTGGATGCAAAGAAATGTATGTATGTGTGTATGTACGTATGCGTATACATACTCACATACTCATATATACATATACAAATACAAATATATACGTCTATATACTTATATACAAGTATGCATATGTGCTTGTGTGCATGTATGCCGTCACAGCCCCCGTATGATTTTGTCGACTGCTCCTCACGAATTTTCTGTCTCGGCCTGCTCTCTTCGAGGTATAGTAAATCACATAAGCAGTCACCGTACCTTCCCACGTACATAGCTCTTTACGCACTTCTTTTACTTAGTTGTGACAAAAAGCCAATCCATCTGAAACCTGCAGCGTATTTTTAATGTTTTCAATTCCCTGTCGAATGTCTACTGACTCTTTGCCTAAGATTCCGCAGAAGATGCCTCATAGTGGCTAGGACTCATGCAGCCGCTACAATCTGTCTGTAACAAGTAAGATAAGCCCTTCCTGTGATACCCACGTAAGGAATTCGCCCATAATGTGATTGTTTCCGTTTTGGGAAACCGAGCACTCAGCAAACTCTTGAAGTATTCACGAGTGCTCAAGCTTTTCGCGCCCCTTTTCTCTCTCCTTAGACCCCACAGGCGCCATGGCCGACCAATCCACTGCAGACTATGGCCTCGCAGCTTTCCGCGGTGGCTGCTGGCGCTGCATCTCACAACACGATGCGTTGCTCACAGGAGATGGCCCGTCTGTGCCGTCAACGGCTGCGCCGGTGGCTCGTCCTCAAGATTGGGAAATTCAAGTGCCACAGGGATCAGCCTCCTCACAGCCAGTGTCCCGTGAGGAGTGTGCAGCCATGATCACAAAGGATTTGCAAACAAAGGTCGGCCCAGCTCTGCAGGCAAGGGATCGAGAACCCGGTGGCCAGATTCAAGTTTGAGTACCCGTGGGAGCTCACCTTCGTTGGCCTCTCACAGGCCACCCGGAGCGGCAGTACTTCCAAGAGCTCCGCCCCATCGAGGAGCTCATGCCGGTGATGGCTGCGGACCAGGCCATGCAGACCGAAGTGACTGCCGGTGAAACCTTGGTTTCCTGTGGTTGACAGGGGACCAAAAGGCTGCACTCGGAGAGCACCGAAGGCACCTTCGATAGCATGACCTCCGGCGAGCCAGATCTCACCAAGGAGCCCGACTACCCGTTCGACTCACAGGCCGAGCTCGACCAGGAATTGGAGAACGAGAAGATCACCCAGATCAACCTCGGCTACGACATCTCCAAGTACTCCACAGAATAGTGGTCGGATTGGGTCAAGGGCAAGAAGCTTAGGCATCTTGGTCAAGATGCAGCCCCGGCGGTTCTCACAGGACGTTCTCGGCCCAGGCTCTCGGCTTGAAAAGTTGGCAGGCGCACAGGAGCCAGATCTTCCAGTACAGAGCGCTTTTTCAGTGAGTCTCTCACAGTGCATACCACTGCGACCGCACAGGAGGAAGAAAGGGAGCGAATTAGTTTGAAGCATGCGAGCACGCCTCCCATAGGCCAGCCGGGTGCGCTGAGCCCTCTCCCAGCTCTGTAACATGTTTGGATTTTTCGGGATTGAGGAATGTGCCTTTCGGCGACGAAATGCAGACCAACGACCAACCCACTCACACCCACACACCTTCCACTCCACACCACCACCACCAGCAGAAAACACGCCCACAGTACAGGCGAGGGCTTCGCAGCAGAGATGCCCGACAACGCCGAGCACCGCAACGAATCACTAACAGAGCAGCACATCGGCGGAACTATCGCAGCTGGCGTGCAGCTCTCTCACACCCCCACATCCCACAGTGCTGTCTCAGGGTACGGGCTCCCGCTCCCTGGACCAGCCCCACCAAAAGCTTTTATACGACCTCACGAGCCGCACTCTCTCACACCGGCGGCTACAGCTGAATAGCAAGCAGCACAGACCACACGACCCACACACCACAAGCCGGCCACCGACCACAGATGCCACAAATTCCGGCGATTTCTGCAGACTCTCAAGCTCAAGAGAAAGACCCCACAGCACCAGACCAGGCCCCCACAGCAGAAAGCAGTGGCAGAGCCGACACGATACCCGTCACAGACAGCACACCAGAGCACACTGGTTCAAGACACACATCGCCCAACCCAGCAAGAAGGGCAGAACCAAACACGATGTGCAGACTTGACTACACCACAACACCAACTTCGAGGCGCGTTCTGGAATACCGCGGGAATCCTCGAAGCAGCCAAGCTCCACACCCTGATCCACATTATGAAAAAGCACCGTCCCAGGTGGTTGGTGCTCACAGAGACCCACATGAAACAGCAAGACCAATTCATGATCGACGGACATACCATCACTCACGGCGCCAGCAAAGGCAGCCCCACGCAGACCTTCAAAGGGGTTTCGCGGATTACCGCTCCACACCTCACCCCCCACCATCACTGACCTCACATGCATTGACGGCCGCTTCCTGCGCTTCACCGTTGACACGGTGGAGGCACCACTGAGCATACTGGCCGTATACGCCCCCCACAACCAAAGAGAACAACAATGCCGCCAGTCCTGGCAATCACCCACTTCATAGATTTCCACTCGCAGAGAGCGCCCTTTGGTGGTGGGCGACTTCAACGCCCTCGCTCTAGACGAGCTTGCTGCTCTCTCACACGCCACCGGCCCACACTTCGTCCCCGGCAAAACATGGCAAAACCGCCGAAGAAGAAGAGCCAGCCGTCGAAGAAGAGGGAGACACCAACCAACGCCAATTCCACGACCTCCTGGCCTCACAGGACTACTGTCTTCCACAAAGCTGGTTGCAGAAAGCCCCGCAGAACCGCCACACACACACACACACAAGCGACCCAACGGCGACATGGTTCAACTGGACCATGCAATCATCCACAAGGAATGGCGCAACATTATCCACGACATCCACACCCTCCCCGGCGCAGCACTCAACAGCAACCACTACTTGGTCAAGGTGGAGCTGCAGCTCCGCACAAAAGAGACCAAGCGCACTCCCCCAAACCCCCTCACACCAGAACGCCCACTGCAGAACAGAAGCAGCATTACAACCACCACATCAAGCAGCAGCTGGCTTCCGACAGCCCGGAGAACAACTACTCACAGCCACCCCCCCAACTCCCCTCGCCGCCGCAACCGCACACACAATGTACCTTAGCTCAGCCGCCTCCTCCGCCATCTCCGAACGCATACCAACCACCAACTCATTTCCCAAACAACCCTGGATCACGCAGGCAACCTGGCAGCTCATTCAACAGCGGTCCGCGGCGCGTCTTTCCAGAGACTGGACCTTGAAGCGCAACTCCACCAAGACATCCGCAAGCAAGCCCGCAAAGACAAAACACAATGGCTGAAAGAGCGACTGGCAGAAAGTGAGGCCAGTCTTGATCCGCGCCAAAGATGGAAATGGATCAAGAAGCGCTCAGACTACAAACCAAACCAGTCTCAATACGGGACTCACAGGGCAAGCCCACCAGCCTTTCACAGCAGGCCCAAACTTTCACAGAATACCTGCGGGACTCACATTGGGCGGCACCCCCCCCACCATACACTGGACCCACAAACCCCTTTCACCCCGCAGCAGTGGACCTCACGCAACAAAGCACCGGGCCCAGACCAGCTTCCAGCAGAGGCTTGGCAATCAATGGCTGAATGAGCACAACAAAGAGGCTCTTTCAAGAGTCCTCAACCAGTCACTGCTCACAGCCACCATCCCACACGACTGGCACAAAGCTATTGTGGTCGAGACTTACAAAGGTAAAGGACCACTCACAGACCCGGCCAGCTACAGACCCGTTTCACTTCTCAACACATCATCATACATCATCCAAGCTCTTCGCCAAAATCATCCACACCAAGCTCCAGGACGCCCTGGACAGCAGGCTCAGGGAAACCCAATACGGGTTTAGAGCAACACGCTCTACGTCCCAGCCAATGCACATCATCCGCCGTCTCATTGAAAGAGCGGAGGCCACAGGACAATCACTTTACACAATCTTTCTCGACTGGGAGAAGGCTTTTGACAAGATACACCCAGACGCCCTCCTCACAGCGTTAACTCGCTATGGCGTCCCACAGCACCTCACTGCCCTCACCAAGAACATATACACCTCCCCACAGTTCACAGTGGCAGCAGCACGCAAGCAAAGCACCGAAGAAGAAGCCAGCTCAGGCATCCGACAGGGATGCCCGCTGTCACCTACCTTCCCCTCATAGCACATGGAATGGTGATGCATGACGTCGACCAAGGGCTCACAGCCAACGGAGAATTTCTCCCCTGGCTCTACAGCCAAAACCAGCCTTTTTACGACTTAGCATACGCCGATGACACAACACTCATAGCAGCCACCGCTGATAGAGCAGAGCAGCTGCTGCACATCCTACGACGAGCAACCTTCACCTCAAGAAGTGTGTGCTGTTACGCACCCACTTCACAAAAAACCATCCACTTCACAGACGGCACCCCCCTCACAATCGAGCAACACACAAAGCACCTAGGAGTCACACTCAGCAGCAACGGCTCCTGCCACAAATACGTCGCCAGAAGTCTTGCCAAAGCCCGCAAACACTTCCACTCACTACACCAATTCTGGCGCAACACGGACGTCACACTGAAGTACAACGCAGTTTTCATTCCACTGGTGAGGTACGGCTTAGAGTCCGCAGCGCTCACAGCCGGAGACGACCACAGACTCGAAGCATGTCACTCACAGTCCCTACGCAAAATCCTTCACAAAAACACCTACTACATTGAAGTGCTCAACCCCACAGCACCTACCTACACCAACCAGGAAGTGAGAGCACTCACTTCAAGGCCACCCGTCACACACCACATCCGCAAAGCACAGCTGAAGCTATTCGGGCACATTCTTCGATCCCATCCGAACAGTATAGAAGGGAACTGCTGTTTTACTTGGTCTTTTCGGTACAGAAGGGGAACGGTAGGTGCAGGCCGTAGGCCAGGCAGGCGTAGGGTCCACTGGACCGGAACAGTGCACCAAGTTGCTTTGGCACCGGCTTTTAAAGTCCTCTAGACCCCCAGCCTGTCACAGCCCTACCTTCCCATACTCCTATCTACAAGCTCACAGAACAGCTGTAGACCGCCACTTTTGGAGTGTTCTAGTGAGGTTGCCAACGTGCAAGACACTCCTGGAAGCACACTCCTACGTAGACTTGAGTTCTTGCGGAGTTGTTGCTGAGCGAATTGCCTAGGGCCGCCCAAAAAAATGGGGCATCAAGGACGGCTGGAAATCACGCGGATTCACATGGATTCATTTGAACTTCACTCGCCTGGCAGAAGATAAGGTCTTGTTCGAGGCAAAAGCGCTGCAACCACACATCAGCGTTGGCCTCAAAGCACCAAGTTCAACAAGCGACAGAGCAGCAAGGCTTTGAGCAGCAGGCTGAGGCAAGCACACGAAACCAGCAAAGCCGTCTTTGGCGTCGCCCACGCAATTGGGGGCAATGTTCTCCTTTGCACTAGGCAACCCGCCGAGCTGTGCTGGGCAGAGATCATTTTTGCCTTGTTGCCACGGGCTGCTAGCGGCGGCCTGCCTGCATTTCAAAGCACCCAAACCCAAGGACAGAAAATCCCACCCCTCGCTCTTGCAAGAGGCCAGTGTTTCACCAGAGGAGGTCTTATAAGCAGACAGGACATCAATTCCGCGACTGGCTGAACTCTGACCGATACTTGCACCACCTTGCTGGCTTCTACCAGGTGTGTTTGGCACAGCGCTGGCCAAGGGTGAAAGCCTTGGTCTGAACAAGTCTGCAGAAACGATTGAGTTGCAAAGCTACCGGCGTCTTTATCTGGAATGATTCTGCGACTGAAGTTTTACTGAATGCCTGACTCGTTAGTCCCGGGACAGATGGCTTTGGTCTACTACTCCGATCACTGCGTGTGCCAGTTGAAACCGGAATAATAGCCTGGGTTCAAATTCGCCGTCTCTGCCTGTGCTGCCACGAAGAACCAGACTCGGCAAAGGGTCAGCACCGAACATTCGATTCGGGCTTGCTCTCACCATAAACCGTTACCATTCCCGAGCCAATTACGCACCCTTCGTGAACTATGCAGGACTTGCGGTGTCAAGATCAGTCCCTTTACTCTCCACTGGGTGTATCTGTCTCACCGGAAGGAATCAGGACAAACTTGACTATCCGGACCGCATTGGAGGTTGTGTTCCAGCCGAATGAAACAAAACATGCAGAGAAGCTGAGGCCATGGCGCAGGACGGCGAGCAGATGTGGGGGTCAGCCCTCCAGCTCCGGGATCACTTTGGCTGGTGCTTGTCATTTTGTCGCGGCCATGTTCACTTACCAGGTCTTGCTGTCAGCATCCAAGGCCCCTGCCAGTGAAGTGTGAACATCCTGCCTGTCACAGCAGCGAGGGGCAGCCATAAGGGTAATCGAGCACAAACAGCTTCTAGACGTCTGCCGTGCGAGAAGAGCGGCCTACTTGCATCTACTTACCATGTTCGAGAATGGACCTGATTAAACACAGCCTGTACACGCGGCGAAGTCGAGCAATGGCTAACGCTGTCTGGCATCAGCCTGACAAAGCTGCAAATGATGTTCAGCTCCCTCCGCACTTCCAAGACCCGCGCGGTGGCATCCTGCTTGAACGAAGCCAGGAGGAGTTCTTGGTTGCCAAACACACCCTCAATCCACATGCGCACTCAGTTTGAGGCAGCCTACGACGCGAAGGCTACTCCTTACTCGTTTCTCGTTAAGTACCAGAAAGTAAATCCAAGTACCACTGCAGCCCACAAGGAAGCGACAAAGCTCTGGGAAGCTACGGCTTACGCAGTATGCGCGCTACCATATCTCACCTGCGTCCAATCACGAATATCATTACTGCAGCAACTACACTGCTGCTTCTCCGAATCTTCAGACACTACCAGGAGGGAGGATAAGAAGACCACTTGACGCATGCGCGTATGAACTCAGCACTTCGGCATTTCGGCTAAGGATATGACCAGAATCTCTTCGAGGCTTGGCCTCTTCCTGGCACAGCTAACGACAAGGCTTACGAGGCCTCTCGTTCACTTTGCAGTTTCCTGAGCCGCAGGCCCGGGATCGGTCTGCAAAATGCGACCTATCAGCTCCTGAAAACGGAGATGACACAAGCAGGTGCATGGAAGCCAGAAGCGCTACACGCGGTTGGACACCACTATCATGGCAAAAGTTCCGACTAGCCAGCATATCGCTTTGGGACGAAGGCATGTGTAGGATTTTGTGGCAAGGTTTAATTAACGTTTTTAGTCAGCAGCTAACCCAGCTGAACTGAGCAGCTAGCGACCTTGGCAGCTTTACCGCCGGTATAGGATTCCGATTACTACAATCATAATCAACATTGTGACTCTTAGTGTTGTTACAGGCATATCATACTGGGATTTCGTTACATGATGCTATACTATGTTATGCTGTGTCGTACTACCAGTATGTTCAGTGAACTATAGTGCGTTATCTCATGTTACCGCCCCACACCCGTATTTCAAACGACACAGAAAGACTGTGTAGTTTCACACCGGACGCGGAAGGATCAGCAGAGAAGCTGCATCGCGCGAAGCAAACTGCAAGCCGTATGTCCTTTATAACGACACTCCAAGTTGACCACAGTGTTTCATGGGGGCTTACCTAGACGCAAGCCCAAGCAAGGCTTCGCACAAGGGTTTCAACACACACGAATAAGTCTCACCACGCTTCAGTAACCCTCACAAGATTTACTCAGGCGGACCCGCCATCATGACAATAGCTTAGAAGCTGGACGTGAAGAAACAACAATCGACATGGCCCGCAGTCAAAGCAGTGAAGAGGGACAGCCCCTTCTACTTTCCTGTTGCTCTCTCACTGAGGGGCGCTAAGCTAATCAAGCTAATGCTAATTAATCTTCTCCTATGGTCACGCTTCTGCCCTCAACAGCTACAGCTTATTCTCATCCCCACGCTGTTGATTGCCACAGCCTCCCGGTCGCGAGGCTGTGCACGAGAAATCAGAGGCACTCCAGTGCAAACGGATTTCAAACGGAAACCCATCGCAAGCTTGCCAGGTTGGTGTGCAAACGGAACCTATGTGCACAGTGACAGGAATGCGGACAAGGCGAGACTCGGAATGGCACAAACGGTTCCAAGCGGCGGGGATTAGCTGGATATGCAAAAGCAGAGACGTTTGCAGTCCGTGAGGCCTCCCACTGCGGAGGCTCAACAGCACCATCCCTGTTTTTGCCAATGCTTGGCTTCGTTGCAAAGGCCGAGCAGCTTTCGGGCTTATGCAAAAGCGGCAGCGCATCGCAGCATGCCTAAGCGATTGCGCACCATGCACCCACACCGACCAGGTCTCTTGTCTTCATTATGCCGCTATTCTTCTGAGTTTTTGTGACCTGACCAATTATTGACCATGGTGGCCTACAAGAATTAATCGAAGGGCACTCCCTGCGCTCTGCGCCGTGCAGAGGATCGCATATCACCTTCTCGAATGACAGCCGCCTGTATAGCCCAGGCTAAAGCACACTCATGCTGCATCGCAGTCCTTCACCTGCGGAGAAACTCGCACGGAGTCTGGGAAGCTGTATTGGTTGATTCGTATCCGCTTGTACCTCCATCATTCCAAGGCAAAGCTGTGGCAAGGGTTCATGGTCGACTGGCGCTGGTCTTGCTGAAATCCATTGAAATCCAAGCAAGCTCCACAAAGTCAGGTACTTTCACAGGGATCTGCGTTTGAGTTTGGACGGTCTCGGAAAGCTCGGATCTATCCGACCAATTCCGAGCTCGATATGCCAGCCCAAAGAAAAGCACCTCTCTGGCACCATCCACCATCCCATCTCATGCTGGTAGAACATATTGTTCTGATGTTTACTCTTAGATGTGACTTTCCAGCTTTGTCAGCAAAGCGAATGAATTGTAACTTTTGTTCGGCTCCAAAGTCGTCACATCTGTGTTAAACGCTTGCAAAACAGGCATCTTAGTTGTAGCTTTTTTGGTGTCTTCAGCAGCAAGCCGCTAACCTATTCTGGTGTATCAAAACTAAACCACAATTTTTGCGCTGCGGAACCTTCACACAAGGTTCACTTAGGGTTTTCGTCTTGGGTATTCACTCCTTACGGTTTTGGTGTTGGGCAAATTGTTCTTGCTGGATTCATTCCCTGCGGTTTTCGTCTTGTGTAAAGGGTTCTTGCTGGATTCACTCCTCAGGATTTGTGGTCTTCGGGCAAAGGTTTCTGCTGGATTCACTCCTTAGGGTTTTCCTCTTCAGTAAAAGTTTCGTGCTGGATTCACTCCTTCGGGTTTTCGTCTTGTGGATAATCGGGGTAGGCGGGGTAGGTGGGGCAAGTTGGGTAGTGGCGATAGGTCGGGTAAGTGGGGTTCGGACAATGTTACATCCAAGAGGACAGTTACATCTGAGAGAACAAAGTTACAACTTAGCCGTGCTACCTCACACAGTTAACCAGGGCACCTGCATACTGCATGGGGACGAATACTCCCGCAAGTCAAGCCATTGGGGTGTGAGAAAGTGTCTGTTATGTATGTGTATGTATGTATGTATGTGTGTGTGTATATATATATATAAGGGTACAAACATCTGTCAAGTCTAGGTATAAGGTATATACACTATGTAGTTACGAGTATATAGTTATGCAAAATGTCATGTGTACGGGCAAGTATCGCATGACTTTAGCTTTATTGTGTGTTTGCTTTTTCTGGATGTCAGAAGTATCATGAGACTATCGGGACCGCGATTATGGCAAACTCCCTTGGTGCCACAAGGTTGTTGCTGCTCTCTTGACCAGGCTTCCGTCCGTCCCGAGACCCAGGGCCCAACCCAAGGTTGAACGGATGCCAAAGCAGCGAGAACCCATGCCACGTCCCTGCAACATGTGTTTAAAGGTTTTCTGGCGCATACACATGTCTCTGATCGTCCTGCTGCTGCCTGCCTTGACAGAACAACGAAGCGTGAACGTGCTTGACTTCGAGAAGAAGCATTGCTGGCAGACGTGCACCGTGAACGGGTGAGCTTGCCCGGTGGGGATGGTAGGACGAGGCTGACATCTTCCCGCTGTTAACATCAAAAGTGGCCGACATCGGGGATGAAGATGTGACATTCTATGTCAGGTTTCGTCTCTCTTGTGCCTGTTCTACAAAGTCTTCGACAGGGCACCCATGTGCGGTCTTGGCTGATGACCATGGGCAAGCAGTTGCCTTGTGACACATTCCGTGTTGTACTCCGACATGACAGGCCTATGTCAGCTTGGGTTTTTCGTCAAACCAACTTCCAGGACAATCCAGTAGAAAGTGTTCGCTGCGCACGGCATGATAAACGAAAGTTCGGAATCAGGCAGCATTGATCCCGGAGCCTCAAGTGAACGACTGGCAGGCTTTGGAGAAGCAGGTCACCGGATTCTGCGCACAGGTCTATGACGAAATCTGTCGGTCTGCCGTGCAAGCATCTGTTCAAGCTCACCGGGAACTGACTGTAACCCTTAACAATGGTCAGTTGAAGTCAAACGTAGGGCAACCGCATAGAAAGACCATGATCAAGAGTAACATGACACATGCGTAATGCTCCCAAATACTGGAACACTGCGTGACTGCGCGCACGTTGTCTTCACATCCGACGTCTCAAAGGGTGGCCGTCCAATGACCATGGTGTAGATGATGACACCCAGCGACCAAATATCGACCTTTCAAAAGTGCTTGTCTGCTGCGACCTGTTTGGACATGGCTTTAAAACGCTTGAACTCAACCCAGCCTCAAATGAGTGCCCGTACTTGCCTTCCAAGATTTCAGGTGCAATGTAGTTCGGAGTGCCTGCCAACGCATTGCCAACGGTGGTGGACTTCGCAAATTCATGGCTAGATCATGAGGGACACAAGTCTGCTGGACTGTTGGCAAAGAAGCGTATTCCCCAGTTGTCAGACAAGCTGCCACAGATGGTACGCTTCCTCTCTCCATCGTATTCGAGCTGTGCCGCTAGGCCAAAGTCACCCACCTGCCGCTCAGCTGATCATGCTGCTGTGTAGACTCTGACCTTCTTCTCTTACTGCAGTACCTCGCAGGGAGTGGATTCAGCTGGCCTTCAATCGCATGGACTGGTCAAGGAACAGATTGCCTAGCCTGAATCCACGAAACTTGGCTCGACTCATATCAAGCGAAGGCTTACAGGGTCATCCTCTAAAACATCACCGGGCCCCGGACTTCAAATCACGGTGAATTACCCGTCGGCGATGCAGGTACTGCAAAGCGAGGATGAGCTCGTAGACGTAAAAAATCGCCTGGCGCGGCCAACTTGGTGCATTGCTGCGAAATCCTGCGAACATCGAGGTCAAACCGGCCTCTGGTTCTGCAAGCCGTTTGGAGGGACGGCGCCTCATGAATTCGTTCAGAGTCTGGTTTGCACCTTGGCGCGAGCTCTGAGAATCAAACACGACTCCAGCAGTTGAACGCTTCTCAGACTCTCAGATCTGCGCAGAGCTCCAGCATGATGTAGACATGGTCGGCATCCTGTACAGCTGCCACTGCTGCGTCTTGAATCTTTTTCGAAGCTCGGGAGATCCGCCGTTCGTCCTCGAAGTAGTCATAGAATTTGACAACCTGCAAAGGTCGGCAGTTCGCTTAGCGCTGCGTCGGCAACGGCAGCCTTGTCGTGGCAAAGCTCCCGATGTATTGCAATCTCTGACCTGCCCGCAACGATGACATCATTGCTCTTTCGAGGACCAATTGTGTATCCATCGGACTTGAAGGAGTTATCGGAGTTTCGCTCAATCTCGGCCCTGAGTGCCGCTGGATCAGGCTTCGGAGAGTGGACCGTGTGTCTAGGTCAAGCAGTCAGGTGTACCCACACAGGTCCCTAGCCAGACTGGTTGTTGTGCGTCTTCCGATGCTGCCCCCTGTTCTGACATGTTCTGACACTATCGGCGGTGGTGAGTGGCCGGTGGCGATGATGGCGATGATGCTGTTGTTGTTGGTGGTGGTGCAGGTGTTTTTTGCGGGTGGCGCTGGTGGCGCTTGTGCTGGTGGCTGCTGGTGCTGCTGCTGTCGGTGTCGTGGTCGTCGTGGTCGCGTGGTCGTTTTATTGTTGTTGTGGTTGTCGCTACTGGTGCTGTTGCTGTTGGTGAAGTTGCTGTTGCTGCTGGCTGTTACTGTTGTTGTTATTGTTGAAGCCACTGGGCCTGCTGCCGTTGTTGCTTTTGCTGTTGTCACCGTCGTCGCCGCTCGTTCTCCACCTGATTCTCTCTGATGCTGCTTCTTCTGTTGTCGTCTGTGCTGCAGTTTTGACGGCCGCGTGCTATCTTCGTTCTAGCAACTCCCGCATGAAGGCGCATCAATCCGGCTTGAAAAAAAACATGTGCCTGAGCTTGGCATGTGCACGGGGCTTCGTGATGGATGCCTTCGAAACGATCTTGGCCTAAGAAGGACCCATACCGTCAGTCAATGCAGGTCGAACATAGTGTGGCGCTCGAGAGCGATGCTGCGAAGATCTCTTTGGTCTCGAGGTCTTGGACTTCGTAGCACTTTGCGAAGCCGCCCTGCCGACTCACAACAAAGAAAGACGAGGATGCACCTAGCTCACCCGGTAGACAGGCACCGCCGCAAGACGAGCAGTTCTGAGTAAATCAAAGGAAACGAAAACAGCTGCGGGGTTCCGTCCTTGCCCAGGAATCTTCCTTTCTGATATCTCGCAGGAAGACCAGACCTAGCAAAGGTGCTTGTTGAAAATTGGCACCTAAATATCCTCGAGTGGTTCAGCAGTTCAGCGTTGTTCAGTGCCTAAATGATCCTAAATGGCCGCTGTTCCCTTCAAGTAACTATTCTTTCAAGTTCCTTGCGAACCCATCAAAGCTATGCCTCAGAAATACAAGGAATCAGAGAGTAGAAATTTGCAATCTTTAGGATCAGTCTTTGAGTCTCTCGCTTACTCTTGGTCCGACACTTTGTGCATGCTTTCATCTTGTCTGGACTGTTAGTTGCCTCCGGATTGTGCAGGCGCCTTCCCCGGCAGGACCTGTCCTCGATGATATCTAGGCTGTGGAGGTCGCCATGCGATCTGCTTCCACCATACCTCATCAACACTTTAGTCGGATCAAGTGCTGCACAAGGCTTCCATCTCACTTCATTCGTATTGAGATCGCTGCACGCCGGTTCTCATTGCAGGAATAATGGGCATGAATTACTGGAGCCGAGCCGGGCCCATGTCATCAATGGAAATCAGGAGAAAAACAAGGAGCATTCCCTCCGGCTGGCCACCTATATCCACTGCTTCGCCCTTTTCAGAAACCAGGGCAATCAATCAATGGTGCTCCGGCCACACAAGTCGTTTTCAGTCGCAATCAATGCTTGGCGAGGCCACTTGGCCAAGGCAACGATGCCAAGGTGTCAGCCGAACCGCTCAAGCAGTGTTTGCGGTCGAGGGCCGCGTGCAGTAGCGACCTGAAGGGTGTCGTAGAGAGGCATCTAGACTCTGTAACTCGCCGAGTCCTTTGCCTTCTTTGGGTCTGGCCCTGCACCTCATTCACAATCTGCGAATATCTCAGTCTGCACAGTTCGAACCGCTCGGCACCAGGCCACAGGATCGAATTGGGCTCCGCAGGGGAGGTGAGCTGCTCGACCTCAGTCCGCAACTTCCGCGACTTCCTGTCTGATCACTTCTCCTGAGGCAGCAGCGATGCCCTCCGTCGTTTTGTACGGCTTCGGCTCCTGCCATTGCCAATCGCAAAACTTGAGTATGCTTCACGATGCGACACGCATCCCATCAAGCCCGACTTCTTTCAGGATGGGAGGGGTCCTTTGCCCCTTCATGCCGCGCTTGTGAGCCAAACTGCCCACTGCTGGCGGATACCTTTCCAAATCGCGGGATCCCCCCCCTCTTGGCGAGACGCAAAGCTGGATCATGCTTGTGTGGAGGGGCACTCCGGGTCCTTGATCGGAAGTCCATTCCGCATGTCTTTCAGCATCAACATGACCTCGGTCCATGGACCAGAGACCGTGGGGGACCTCTTCGGTCTTCCGGCTCTTTCGTGCTAGAAGCGACGCACCTACTGACACCACCAACTCCCATTACATTCATCTAAAGCCAGAAGCCAGATCTGCTTCCTTTGGGCAAATCATCACCCGTGGCTCGGCTGAACTGCTCCGAATGGTAGCGAGCCCACACTTGAATGCCTTTGGCTTGCTCCGGCTGCCCCGCCACTCAGGAACGGTGGGGTGTGAGGCGAAGACAGCTTACAGGTCCTTTATGTCCTTCTTTCTGTCAGCAGACAATTGTCATCCAATGGGTGCGAATTCCGCTCTCAGTCTGCATAGCAAACGGTCCGACGAGCACCCGGCAAGGGAGGATGGTCTGTTTGAAAGTTGGAGATGCTTCTGAATCTGCCTGACACAAACTCGAACCGAACTCGGAGAGTCTTCAACTTTCAATGCCAAACAACATCAAACAACTCCAAAACAAGTGAGCCTGAGATCCTTCTTGCGGTCATCTCTTCTCGAGAGCACTTCTGCTAGTTTCGCCGCAGCCTGCCGAGTGCCAACGCGGGTTGGTCGGTGGGTCCAGTCCCAGTCGGGCCTCTTCCACCACAATACCTAGAACGTCGCAGATTCGTAGAATTTCGTAGATCTTAGATGTAGTAATGTAGTATATCGCGACTGATTTCTTTGAACCCATTTCTCTTGCTTCGATGCATGTGTGAAGATGCCGAAGAGTACTCTAACGTCGGAGTGAACTTGTCGAAACGAAATCCTGCATGCCCTGTGAGTTGCCGCATCTGTGCCATGCTGAATCCGGTCAACTTGGCAACCTGCGTCCGAACTATGCGACCCTGGACGGCTGGTGCACGCTCGTCGGAACCGAAGGGTGATGCTCTGTTTCGCCCCCGTCCCTCTCCTGTGCATCCAAGTTGAACTTCTTGGCAAGCTCCTCGACCTGGGGCACGTGCCACCCGACTACCCACTCTAAGATTCTATGTGCCTGATGACAAGAGAGAAGTCTGAGGATGTCTGAGGACATATGTCAACTGTCAACATGTTCACTGACACACACACAATGTCGGCTGATCAAGAATCTCACGACTTCCCCGATCCGGCCAGACGTGAACACCTGCTTGCCCCTCTAGCCCAGCTTGACAAGAGGCAAATTCGGGCATCGTCATAAAAGTTTTATCCTACCGGATGCAAAACAAAAAACAAACGCGAACGGCAGAATGATTCGATGAAAGTGTGGAACGCTTCCTATACGTCAGTGCATGATCTGCAGACACCCTACATAGCATCACGAGCAAACCATGAACACCGAGATACGGGCATCTTTGTCCGGGGTCAGAGTGCCACGAAATTTCCCGTCCTCCTGAGCTGGGAACAGGGAACAGTCACGGACAGTGGTCGAGTCGCACCGAGTATGCACTGTCAAGTGGCCACGAGGTGACAGCCCTCGGAACTGGGAACACGAAATGCCGAACAACACGGTTGAAACAGCTTCAACTACGACTACAAGTAACCATCGCGGCTATGGTGCTCCTTGTTCAACGATCTGAACAACAGCGCAGCAAGCAAGGGGGCTACTTACTGCAGTGCATGTTGCGAGAAATACGAACATGTGTCGAAAGGGCGCCGCGAGATGGCGCAGGGGAACGCATCCTGCACTACACGACCACTTGCCGAGGACGCTGCCATCTCTCTGATTTTCACACGCAGCAAGCCAGCCGGGTTCCTGCATCAATGGCTCAGCAACGCAAGTCCGGCAATCACCGGCAATTGGGAGCCCTGATGTTCAATCTGACATGATCCAACGCGCCCTGCCTTGCACCCCCAAGGATCTCCCAAAGTGCTTGCATGTCTTCTTGCGAGGTGTCGCGTCGCTTCTTCATTTGGGCAGCCAGATCCCTTCGCACAGCGAGAGCACCGGAAAGCCCCTTTGCCGCTATGACTCGGTCGCCCTTGCAGAACAGCCCAATACCGGAGCAAAAGACCGATGCTTGACCTGACGATGCGGTCATCCAGCTTGAAGCGAGCTTGAAGCTCCTGACGAGCTTCACCCATGATGAACTGAGTACCAGGCACAGTGTGAGTAAAGTTATCAAACTTCCGCCTTGATGCTTTGCTTGACATCCTTCTCATCGTCTTCTTGAGGCGGCTGCGGCATCTGGAAGGACTGCGCATCTGACCTCGCGAAGGCAGTCCAGCTTTCTTGTCCAGTGGGCGTGCTTTCGTCTGCGTGTATGTGCGAAAGACTTAACAAGTCGTCGACGGTCCCGGCAACGCGTTTTGGATGTACTGGTACTGCAGTACCTGTCGCAAGATCGAAATCGCGGGCTTCCGTTGGAGCTCCGATATTCACTCAGTGGAAGACCGATGCAGCCACCGTAGGCCCAGGCGTGCCCGCAAGCACGGGGCCGACGGGGCCGAGGGGATTAGCAAACGTCCCAGAGCTCGGCTCTGACAAGTTGCTGAAACCTCCTTCGGCTCAGGTGCAAGCAGAGTCCCCAAATGCATGTCCTGCAAAACATGCAGGACCTCGTCGTCGTAGATACGCTAGATTCTAGATGGATCTAGGAATCTAGACGGACCATCTAGACTCCTGGCGGCACCGTTACCAATGCAGGAATGTTGGTGCCGGGTGTTGGCACCAGTCCTGCTCGAAGCACCACCGTGAACCACACAGTCGGACCGACCAATGCAGGTGCTCGAGTTCAAGCCCTCAGCAGCGCTTGTGGTTTGCCGTGATGAATGTCCTGGTAGGCCGGGAAGCGGGAACACCGGCCTCGTTCGCACATCGATGACGCTGGGACAACCGAGAAACTCGCTGGGTGCCTGGCAAACCCGTCCCCGCCATATCTTTTCGCCTAGGAGCCGTGAGTCTTGACACTGCTAAACGAAACGGTGTTGATTCGGATGTCGACCTTCAAGCACATGGCCGAATGCAGCAGTGGCGATCAGTGGCCGCATATCATGCACCCCGCCGTTAGAACACTATCATCCGTGCATTGAAGCTTCGCATTGCATCAAGGGGTCTGTAAGTAAGAGCAAACACGGCGCCCATCTTCGCGGGACAGGATGGCTGTAGCCTAAATCGGGTTTCGAGCCTCAGGCATCGGCGTGTTGTCCACCAGAAACAAACGTGTCGCATTTATGGATTGTCCTCCATTTGTTGACAGAACGTGCAGCAGCCAACGTGCCTCTTTTCACGGTTGCGATCCCACTGCCGAAGAGAGCCTTGCTTCCTCCACCACCAAGTCCACTCCATCATCTTCCTCGTCGGGGCCTTCGTGGGACAGGCCCACCATCTCTGCACCCTGCGACTGGGCAAACAACATCATGCACATCACGAAAGTATCACGTGCGTTGATATGCTCCAAACGGAAGGTGATCATCTCGCCGGAAGGCTTGATCACTATGGTGGCGCAAAGGTCATCCAAAGGTGTACTGAGGCCCTCCGGCTCCTGTCCCGCATGTATGCCTGCAATGTTTTTCAGCCATACACGCCTGACCTCAGCTTCGGACCCAAAAAGCTGGACAAATCATGGGAGCCTTTCGCAGTGCAGGTAGACCGCAGGTGGCTCGCAGTCGTATCATGTGTATATTGCACATGCTATGCCAACGCTGTATTTGGGGAGTTGTCTGCTTTTGCATGTGCTGAAACACACACTTTCGTGCATGTCCGTATTTTTGAGGACCTGCTTGAGACCGTCTTTTCACAAACCATAGGCAAAGGCTAAGGCTTAACATAGAATGTCATCGCCATCATACGATGATACATGAACGACTTCTGGATGCGACTGTACCTGTGCAAGGAGCATCGCTTCTTCAACCCCCCAGAATATTGATGTCCTTGAAATCATTCAGCTGAGGTGTTGACGTTTCACACCTCCAGCCACAGATTAAATGCCTGTTGACCGCGCCCGCCTTTGTGACAACCGAACATCTATTACGTTGGCTCACAGTATCTTGCGCCACTTTCTCTTCAAAAGCCACATTTCGATTTCCAGCCTTTTGTCTTTCGCAGTCAACGCCTGACGGTTCAAATGATCGTGCAATGGCTTGCTTTGCAACAGCGATTTTTGGCAAATGGCCCCAGCACGTTTACATTCCTGACCTCGATTCTTTCCCTTTGATACTGTATGGGTGGTTGTCAAAATCATGGTCCCTTTTTGGGTCCTTATTCTAACACGGCACCAAATATTTAGGGTACCCAACAAGGGGCCATAATTTTGACAACTACCCATATTTCTTCTTTCGGGAGCAGTTATTCTTCCGTTTGGGTGTTCCCTTCCGTTCGGGTTTCCAATCCCGGCTGAGGCTTCCGTTTGTCAGGGAACTTTCTGGGCCTGGCCGTTCCGAAACGGAGCCGAATACGAAAACGGAAACCGTCTCCATCTCCGATTTCGATTCTTTTTTTGGAGGGGGTCCGTGTGTTCCATTTCCGGTTCCGGGTTTCGCTTTGGATTTTGGGAGTTGGGAGTGCCGGCCTGTCCGTTCCGGGTTTCCCGTGCCCGTTGCCGGGCTGGAATCTCCCTGGCATGGGGCTTCGGCAGCGTCAGCATGGTTCTGCTCGGCAACGGAAGCCCGAACGGAGCCGACAAAAACAAACGGAACACGAAACGGAAGCGAAAACGAAGGCCACGGCCAAACGGAAGCGAAGCACATGGTTCCATCGTTACCTCGGTTGAGTCGCCTCCACATGGGTGAATGGCAATCTCTGCACTTCGGAGCCACTGTGCCTTCCTGTGCGTAAGTCTTCCACTCCATCAGAGATCATTGAACTGGGCTTCGGCGCTGGGAATGGGAGACCCTAGAACTCTATTCTGACTGTATGACAAGGTTGATGGCCCTCTCCATGTCACTGACTTGCCGTGTGAAGGTGTCTCGAGGAGGCTGTCTGGAATGATGGTATACAGCGGTGTGGTTGCGATCTCAGATTATCGCTGGATTCCACTTGTCGTACCTGCGAAAAGTACGATTCAAAATCGGCTGTGCCTATCTCATTCATCCAATGCAGGATCGTCACCGGGGATGGCTTGTGCTTGCCGTACACACTTCTACCATGTGTAGTTGTGTATAGGTGTCCCACTCCAACACTGTCAGCGTAGTACTTCATGACGTAATCGCAGTCTTCCTCCCAGAATCGGCCACGGTTTGAGCTTTTTGTTGCTGTCTGAACACTGTCTGGTGGCGAAAATTTCAAGGCCATATATTTCACAGCTGATGTCCTCGTTGACTATCTCGATAGCTTTCATGTTCTCTTGCATGTCAACGATTTGCTGCTGCATGTGGCTGAATTGTCTCTGATATATGCGGTGGTCCTTCGCCACTCATCTGGTTAACCATTTGCTCCAATACTTCGTTCGGTCTTAACTGCTGCTCCAACTTTTCTGTGAGCTCGGATGCTGCAGCGGGTGGATGCTTGGGCTTTTCGTGGTGTGGCTGCGTGCATGTGTCGTTCCTCTGCTGGTTCCTTGAGGTGTTTCCACCTTGCATCTGCCGCCTGTGCCTCGTCTGCTGATTTGCCATAGATTATGATTGCACTCTTTCGGCTTGTCCTGAAACAGTTGCCTTCTGGCCTCCTCCATGTGCCGGTAGCCTTCGTCTTATGCTGTAGTTTAGGGTGCTTTGGCTGTCGCTTTACTGAAACCGGCGTTGGCGATTTCTGCTGTCTCTTGGTTTTGTCTGCATCTTCGTCCATCGTTCGCGACGTGTTGTGAACAGGTTGAGTTCAAGGCCTTACTGGCTTTCCGTCATGATTTGGGCCCCAAAGCCTGCCTTCCAGATATAACGCCACAATTTCGCGCTGACAATCTGGAGGTGATGGCGGTACTGATGTTTCTTCTCGGCTGTGCTGGCCCAGCTCGCATCGGACCACGTGCAGAATTGTCCGTCGTGCATGCGAGCGTGCGCGGTGAAAACATAAGCGATTATTTCATTTGCCGGTGTGAGATTACCTGTTTTGGCGTTTTCGCAGCAGCGAACTTGTGCTGTAGAAACTTCTAAGACCAACATGCACTCTTTCTTGTGCTACCATGCTGGTTCTGTTGTGTTGCAAGATTGCGATCTGATAAGGCCGAAGAAGTCAATTACTCAAACCTTGTGGTGGCGATGGTCAGTTGCACATGAGAACTTAAGTCCGGTGAGCTGCAATAGGTTGGTTAAAGTTACAGAGAGTGAAGGTTGAAGGTCACACGGGGGCCTGAACATCCGTCCTGCAGGGACCATCCAACATTCAAAGTCTCTTTCCACATTGCCAAATTGAAGAGGTTCAGCACCCATTTTTCATATGTCGGGCGAGAATTTGGAAACAGGAATTTAATAATATCAAGGCTGGACATCTGGAAAGCTAGCAGCATCGAGGCTTTAAATCTCGAAATCTGGCGAAGTCTCCGATGCAACATTCCCTAGCCGATCAATCAAGGTAGGGGACAGACGTCGGGAGGGGGAGAGCACATCTCTGTATATGTATGTTTACGTATAGACATCTATCCTGTCGTCCGTTTACATATTCAGTGTTTCTCCATGCTTCTCTTGGTTGGCTTTCGAGGAAGAGGCAACCAGTATGCTCTTTGCGCAGCCCTTTTTCTACACATTACAAAAGGGCAATTAGACTGAGCTTTCGAAAGGCGGTGACCACCTGGTGGGCTTGGCATGTTTAACCCGCGTTTAGATCGGTTGGAGAAAAGAGTCGGCTCTTCGCTGCTGTTTGCGTGCCAAGCTGCCTGGCTCGCCCGCGTGATCCGCAAGACACAGAGCTCGCTGTTCAAGCTGCATGTAGTTGCCTTTAGCTGGCCAGTGGGCGACAACACCATCATACGTCGGCCCATCCGCATCTCCAGGACGAAATCTCGAACCACCACTTTGGCCTCGCACGCAGTCTTTGGGGATTGTGGGGGCTGCGTCTAACATGGCGGCATGATCTCAATAACGACAGCTCGTGCGAGGCTATGGTAGACGAGGGGAGAAGCGGACTCAGCTCTGAAGAGACGATGACAACAGGGCTGAGGGAAATGGCAGCAGGAAGGGATAGGGATGGGTATCCCGGGGAAGGGGAGTGTCTCCAGAGTTGAAGAGGTTTGCAACATGTACAGCGGGACAGCTGCAAATCAAAAGCGGCCTGCTCAAGCTGCTCCGTCATGTTCGCGGCATCTCATTCAGAGCCAAGCTTCGTGAAGTGGGCTTCTGTCAGAGAGGTGTTGTGAAGCTGAAGCTTGCATGACATGAGCTGTCTGTTAGAAGGCTTTGTTGAAGGGCAGTTTGCTCATCTTGTTTCTTGAACCAGCAACGGCAGACAAGCTGGTCACCTCCGGCTGTTCATCCGGCTTCTACAACCTACCGCTGTCTTCATCCAACCCATCATCACTTGTGATCAGGTATTGGTTGATGCAGTCTGCCCTACCTGCTGCAAGACAACAAGACAACGAACGCACTGCTTTGCTGCAATCCGCTGTCAAGCAGTCTGTCAGGCAGTGTCGCTGCATGTCGCCTGTGCTTTCTGTCGGACCTGTATCTCATGAGTGCTGGGATTGTAAAACCGCGTGCACTTTCGGAACTGCAGAAAATTTCTGCTCCCAGCCTTGATTGACCCCATTGACCGTGCTTGCTCCGTCTTGCCGGCGTCAACTCTTTGCTGCATCGGCCGCATCGCGCAGAATGGCCAGGAACTTGGCCTTGCGGTTTCCGAGCGGGTCCAACTCTGCTGTCAATCTGCTGTCAAATTGATTCATACTGCATAAGATGCTGGAATTAAAAGCCTCTTGGACTCTTGTAAACTCTTAGGTGGGGCTCCTCCATGCTGTTGTGTACGAAATCAGATTTTGGTAGGGCTTAGCCCTCTGAGTTTAGATTGAGCTCAGTTGCCGAGTTCCCTGGCCCAAAAGACAGTCCTTGAGTAATGGCAGACTGCACTACTGGCAGCACTAAATAAGCACGACTCTCAGGTGACTTAGATGATGCTGTCCCGGAGAGCCTGCTGGTCGCTGCTGTGGAGATTCAAGCGGAATGCGGAGAAGGGCACCTGACATCATGTTCAGGCCTTGCTTACGTAGAATTTGGCAGGGCAAGCGGCAAGCAGGCTGAGCTCCGAGCTTTTTCAGACTTCGCCTCATGCGTATCGGCATCGACACCGACGAAGCGCACAGACTTTTGCCCAACCATTTCGTACCTGTCTCTCATGCGTCGAGGCTGCCAAGGACCATAAGATACGCAACGCCTTGTCGTTGGGAAAACCGGCGTGTTCAGCAGGAGCTTCAAAACGCCCCGCATTCGCATCACCAGCCGAGCTGCTCGAGTTTTCTTGTGCCTGTTGATGTGCACCTCTGGCAGAGGCAGCGCTATGCAAGGCTCCCGGCCGTGATAACGGCTGAGGCTCGGAACAATTCCACATCCCCTTTCTTGCCAGGTCCAAGCCTTCCAGCACGAAATCTCTCGTGCAGAGTGAGAGAGGTAGGAGAAGCAAGCAGTGCCATCGGCAAAACGTTCACGGCAACGTACCCTCTCTTAGTCACGCTACACATACTAGTGCCAATTCCGCCAAGGTCGCGTTCGGCAAGCTCGTATCAACATCGCACAGAATCGCGTGGAATGGTTACTCCTTGCACCGTGGGGCTCCTTGGGTCGCGTCAGCCTCGTTTACCTCTCGGCACCGTCCTGTGTCGTATGCTGGGCCAGTGTGGCACTATGGGCGACTTTCATCTCTCTGGATACTCTGAATCACGGCCCTGCATGCAGAAAACCTCCATCTATTGCCTTCACCTATACGTGTAGGCAGCCAGGTCGGCACGCGGCTGGATGGCTGGATCTCGCGAAGTTCGGTCGGACTCTTGGAAGGGCTAACAGTTGTTTGGGCCGTCCTGCCCTGCAGCTGTCAGCCGTCAAGACAGACGAGGAAGCTCACAAAGGAACTCCTGAAGAGCCAAAACTTGCTCGAGTGGCATGTGTCAGATTGTTGTTGGATCGTTGGTCTGAAAGTGTTGACCAGAAGTATTCGAGCGGCCAACAATGTGCAGCAAGAAGACGAAGGCTCCAAAGGGTACGCGGCGCCTCTGATCTTTCCTTGGACTCAGATGCTGGAAGCTTGACCTGGCAAACAGTGGCAACAGCGTCTTGGAGGATCTGTTGCTACAGCGGCGAGAAATAAACAAACTGCCAGACAACCAGCTTCCAAAGTTTGCAATCTGCTCGGAATAGAACTTCTTCATCCTCTTCACCTTGATGCAATCGCAAAAAAATGCACTTGGACCCGAGAAGGTCTTGGCGCCTGTCGGCTCGTCGCCACCTTCCCCGTCTTTCTCGTCAAGATCGTGCTCTTCCTCCTCTTCTCCATCTTGCGCCTCTTCTCCTTCTTGCGTCTCCACTTCAGGCTGCTCCAGCTGGTCTGCCTTCGCGGATGAGACTACCAGGGACAGTGAATCACGGTGGTTGTGCACAACAGCAATACATGCGGCGAATGTTCAAGTTTCATGTTATGGTCAATGCAATCGGCAACATGTTGAGGAACTTTCCAGCACACATCGTTTTGAGTCCGAGCACGAAGCATGTCCACTTCACTGCAGGCCCAGACGCACGAACTCTGGCCTCAAGTATGAGTATCGTGCAGTGATTTGTGGATCCGCTCCATCATTCACAAGTGCCTATGTGAGTTGCAGAATGTCATTGGTTTTCTGGTGGTTGTGCCTGCTAGGGATTCAGCTTCGCTGTGCCTGATGCTCCTCTCGCTTTGTTGCGGTTGTTCCGGTCTGTCGGGGCATGAAGTTGGCTGAGTTTCGCGTTCTGAGCTGCCGCGTAATGTATAAACCTGCTTAGCGAGCACGGCCTGATTAGATGGGACCACCTGTAACTCGCGTTGTAGTTTTGCTTGACGTTTAATTTACCCCTAATAAGGCTTTCTAAACCCCAAGTAAACCTCCCCGAATAGTCCTAAGACAATACAGGAACCCTTTACTGAACTACCGTACGACTGTACTACTGTGCTGTACTACTACTACGGTGTACTACTACTGATACCATCTGATATCGATGTTTACAGCTTCTTGCAGGCACAGCATGCTTCAAACCTGCCAGCTTCCTGCGAAGACATGGGAGAGCGACGACCCATTGAACTTCCCTGGAATGTGCCTGGACGCAGCGCGCCTCGCTACATTCCTCCGCAGCCTTGCCTCAGAGACATCGAGTCATTTATGGCAATTCGGCCCAAACGGACACTCCTGCCAAGCAGTGCGCAGACCAGACTTGACACTCTGCTGTCAGCTCTCCGTCACCGTGCCTTCTTCCAGCGCTGCTTCTCGCGCTTTCCGTTCGGACAGCAAACATCTCGCGCTTTCGGACGGTATGACGGAACGACACTCTGAAGTTATCCCTTAGGGAAGAGTCAGCGGAGTGTCAGTTGCGCTGCATTGTCCTATCTGCTGAGTTCGGTGATCGCTACCCCAAGAACCCCACGCTAAACCGGGTCCGAACCGAACATAGCCTCCTGATCTAAGACTGCACCGCGCAGCATTGGCAAGCCTACGACCACGTCCCTGCTTCTGAAGGCGATCCCCCTTGCGAGAGCAAGTTCTTTGAACGGAATTAACAAAACATCTTGATTCAGAGCGTGTATTGAATCCTATTCTATTCTTCGCAAGCTCGTCCTAGAATGTTAAAAAGTCAGACTTCGCTTCTAAAGCCACCTGACACTGAAAGAAGACATGTCGGGTTCTACCATTATGCTACAAAAGAGAGTTTCGCAGTGCAGCTATCACCCCCGGAGAGAAGGAAATGTTTCGGATTGCTCCAAACTACGCGAACCCTGTGAGCACCAAACAAGGCGGTAAGGAAAGGGCCATCAAGGGCGTGTAGAAAGGAAGAAGGAAGAAACGGAAGGCTGAAAGTAGAAAGATAGCCACATAACACGGGCAAACCGAAGACAGGTCTCAAATTCAGCAAGTGCAAAGGCTCCAAAAACCGAACAAACAAGAAACAGAATCGGCTAAGAGAAACCACCGGGCACGATGCTTGGTTCCTGTCAACTGCACTTCGCAACCAGATTCATCGCCATGTCTGAGTCTGTCTGAGATAACATATAACATGGTACTGCAGGCACAAAACCAACTCAACAACCAAACACGCACACGCACACACACACACACACACCCAACATTGCACATGTTCGTTTTGGTGGCAGCATTGCATTAGCATTGCCAAGACTCCTCAGACCAAGTTTGAGCGTACCAACATCACCCAAATCAGGAATGCTTAACAGTTCTTTGAGCAGCACAGGCACGTCCTATAGCAATCCGAATTTCCTGAGACCACCACCGGTGTCCGCAGGTGTGCCGTGGAGAGATGTTACAGCTGTCGAGAACAAGCTTCCTTGCGCAGCGGTTGCATCGGAATGCAAGCACAAGCAACCTCCTACAACTCTACCCCGGCGTGCAGAAATTTCGGCTATTCCACTTTCGCAACGAAGTCCTGATGTAGCTGGTGAGAAAAGCGACAATCCCATGAACGGATTGGCCGACTGTCACACAAGGAACAGGATACAGCACAGCACAACGAAACCCAGCGGAAGCATCGACGCTGTACTCTGTACACACCATGTGCAGCCTCGCCAGGAGCAGCCGATCCGGCGGACCTTGTCTTGCATGAACAAAACACAGCCATGCAGCTCTGCAGCTATGTTCGAGTGAAAGCTGAACTGTTAGGGTCTCGGGAGTAGTAGACAGCTCTTGGGCTCCTTCACCGATGTTTCAACTTCAGCAATGTACAGCTGTATATATACATATATGCTTGTTGATCCAAATTGCTTCGTCCCGGAATGGCCTTCTTCGCGAAAAATGACAAACTTTCGCACCATCATCGCTAAAAAAACTTTCGCAGTGGCATATTTACATACCTTTGCAGCAAGTGAGAACCCTAAATTACAAGCTACAAGCTTCTCCATGGCAAGCTTTTACGGGCATTTTTATCAAGAGCTTCTGGCAGGCTTCCTCAGGGTTTCAGGGCTGCGTGAAAGGAACAACAGTTGGAAAGCGCTGATTAGGGCCGTCTTAAGGGTTGGAGTTTGATCGAAGGGCGTAGTTGATTGAGAGTTTCTGGGAGCCTTTCCTCAGGCTTCAAGGCTTCTGTAAAGCTGCTTAAGGCCTCCTTAGGGGGAGGTGCCCCTTTCGCCAACCACTCGCGAAATGCACCGACAGTGTCCATTGGGGAGCGGTCTTGATCTGGCTACGTCGACTTTGATGTCACTTGCGAGGAGCACTAAACCCTGTGCGGGAACCTAAGCTTTGGCGCTGTCGTTGCTTGCACGTCGGATCGGCGGCGCTGCGAGGCACTGCGCATGGCTGAACCGGCACGGTAGCAATCGTGGGTAAGTCGTAAGAGGTGAGAGGCAGCAGCAGTCGGCGGTGGCCGTATAAGCTTACGAGTAGTAGGTATGGCAGGTAGTCGTAGTAAGTGGTGACGGTAGTGCTTGTAGCAGTAGCAGCATTCTAAGTTGCAGTAGCAAGAGCATGAGAAGTGGTGGTGGTAGTGGTAATAAATAATCGTAGTAGTACCAAACACCAACCGCAACAATAGCAAAAACAGTGGTAACAAGACTAGTAGTGATAATAAGAATAATCGTAATAAGAAGAAAAAATAATCATAGCAACCATCGTAATCATAGTGAAGCGCCATGAGCGGCTCAGGCCTTTGACGGGTGCTCAGCCTTTAGGCGTTGCTTCAACACTAAGGGTCCTTAGAATAGGCCCAAACGGCAAGGAAGCTGTTGCAAGACTTCCGGGCAAGTCAAATCGCCATGCACTCTGACGTGCGCATGGACTCCCCTGTAACTTCGCGGCTAGTGGCTTGGCACCAAAATCTTGGTACCAGCCCTTGCAATCAGTCAAGCCATGACATCAGTGAAGATATTGATAGGCCCCATCCTGAAGCAGTTTGTTCATCCCGCTCCCAATTTCCGGGTACCAGATCAAGCCGTGCTCCCGCAGACGATTCAAAAACTGGAGGGGGTGAGGGTTGTGCCCCGCGAGAGCTCCCAATTCGGCGAAGTATGAGGAATCCCCTAACCTCCCTTTTCTCCATCCCCTCCCTCCTCTGCCTCGCCTCCATCAACTTCAATAACCATACCTGAGTTTCCACAGCCCCCTCTCCTTAAGTAACCTCCGCTACCTCAGCGTCCTCACCATTTCCATCAGCCCCATCATCATCATCATCATCATGATCACCATCATCATCTTCATCAGCTCCGTCATCTTCATCACCTCCATCATCCTCATCATCAGGCCGGCAAAATTTGGTGCGATTGGGTGTCTCTTGCTTTAAAAAGTGTTTGAATTATATACAGCGGTTCGACAACACCAAGCTTTCTGAAGGAAGCACTGCAGACTATTCGGTGCTATCGAACAGCTGCATTTTCCAAACCTGAAGACAGCGGTTCGACAGCACCAAATTTTTGGAAGTGTTCCCTCCCCTGGCCTCCCCTCCTTCCCCTCGTCGTCTTGGTCCCACATTAAGAATGCAAGGTGTTGTGTTAAAAGTTGTCTCCCTCCAACAACAAAACGAAAGGTGGTTTATAATTCGTCTTCTCCCAACAAGAACCGATGTTCTTCTGCAACATCAGATTCTTTTCTGTAAGCCTTTGTCATCCGCGTAGCATTAAACACACAAGTTTGTTTGCGAATCCATGTTATCCGTGTCATGGTTGTGTGTGCTACCTTCTGAACATCATTCATACTATGATACTGTTTGCTATGACGTTGATTGCAGCTTTTGTTCATGATTACCGTTATTCATATTGCTCCCATTGATTTACTTGTGAACTATTTCTAGTATTGGCATATTCACTATTCATAGTCATATCAATGATGTGAGGATAGGTACTACTTACTACTAAACGTATGGATCGCAATAGCAGTAGTAGTTGATGTTGCTGGTGCTCTTGTTGTTGCTGCTGTTGTTGGTGTTGTTGTTGCTGCTGAGGAAGACAAAGTCCAATGAGGGGGACACTGCTTGGAGTTCACCATTCTATCTTCTTCGTCATCATGCCCCTTCTCCCTTCACTGAATCATTATGCACTACTCTGCAACTGTAGTTGCTCTTGTTGTTCTTCCTGTTGTTGTTGATGATGGTGTCGGTGTTGATGTGGTCGAAAAGTAAAGTCCGACTGACACTAAAACATATACTCAAAGAGCAAATCAGTCGTATTGCTTACGGTTGACGGTTTCATGAGCAGGAACACCTAAAGTGAGGAGGGGAAACTGCTTGCGATTGAGGTGTTGGGAAGCACCATCGCCAGAAGCTCCAATACTCAACTTGCCTCGTCGCATTGTCATCATCAACATCTTCATTACCTGCGGCTCCATGATTGTGATTGGTTTTAGTTGTTCTTGTTGTTGTCGTTGTCGGGCTTGTTGTGATACTGCGGGTCGCATGCTTACTGTTGCTCATATTACTCCCTAATGTTCATTTATGCATGACATATTACTCGCATGAGTTCAGTCAGAACCATTATTCAACACTGTCAGGATGATTAAACTAAGGCTACGCGTGCTGATTGTTGGCTTTGTTGTGGTTGTTGATGCTGTTGATGTTGCTGCGGCTTCTGGTCGTGGTTGTGATTGTTGATTTTGTTGTCGTTTGCTGCTGTTGTCGGTCACAATGCTTGTAAAGGGGCTGGGGGTGTGGAGTTGGTGTTTGAATTGGCAGACTAGAGCGGTACCCACAATATAAGATTATCAACACCTCAAGGATGGAAGCCATTCACCAGGCCAAGCTTCTGAAAGAATGGAAATTCGATATTCAACAATACATGACTGTCGGTTCAAACTTTTTGTATTTCGGTTCGTGCAAAATACCACTTAGCCATGTTGTACATATCAAAAGCTGGTTACATGGACCTAAAGGTATCGGGCCCATACATATATATATATATATATATATACACATTATATATATATATATATATATATATATGGTTGCGCCCCCCCCCTCCTCCCTCCCCCCCCCTCCGCCTATGGTATCCGTGTATTCTACCCGAACGGCATGGTTTGCCATTTCTATTCCCTCCCCCCCCTGTGGAACAGGAGGGTTTGCCCTATGGTATCCTGTTAAGTACTCTTGTATATTCTCATGAGTAATCGACGTGTATTCTCCCCCCCTTTGTGGAATGGCATGGTTTGCCTTTTCTATTTCCCCCCCTGTGGAACAGGATGGTTTGCCCTATGTGCCCCCCCTGGGGAACAGGATGGTTTTCTCTTTTGCTCTGAGATATATGCACGCACACACACACACACACAGCGTGTCTGTCCGCTCCATTCTTTGGTGTGCGGTATTCTGCTGCTGCGAAATGCGAACTTCGTCTCCGGTTTTCCAACTGTGCGTGCGAGCCAGGGAGGAAGTAGAACCCCTTCCCCTGTGGAACGGGATGGTTTTCCCTTTTGCCACACACACACCATGTCTTTCTGGATGTGGCTTGTTTACTACTACCCCTTGTCTAACGAAGTACTGCCTAGAACCCCTTTACTACGACTTTTGCATTAGAACCTTGCTTAGAGCCCCTCGGTACGTGAATAATGTTACAAAGTATTGCCTGGAACCCTTTTCTAAGGAATTTTACATAGCCTTCCATTGAAATTTTGGGACACGAGTAACCTTGCTGAGTGTTGCTTAGAACATTTTGCTTACTGATCACAGGAAGCCTTGCTTGGAGGCCTTCGTAGTAGGAATAATTTTACTCAGCTCTGCCTCGAAACCCTATCCTTACTGTAGAAATCACGCGGGTGTGTCGCGGGCGGGCCAAGCGGGGTGCAATACGCGGTGCGGCGCGCCTGTAGCGGGAGTCCTCCAGGCTTCAGGCCCTTGTAGTTGGGGGGGGATACCATAGGGGGTGGGGGGGAGGGGGTGGGGGGGCCGAGAACGCACAGCGCACAACCACAGGTACACATGTCAAGAGCAAGGGCCCCCTGGACTCTCTTTTGGCCCAAAACCAACTCTGTAAACAACAACCTCAAGCTCCAGAGAAGCTAGGTTACGTGAACATCTCTAACTCTGCTTGGCCGTTGGTACAGGAGGCCACAGTATTGCTGCAAGCTTTGCTTGACAGCTTTGTGAGTCCCCGAATCCGGACACGAACTGAAACAGACAAGTTGTGCCAGCATATCGCGATGCAAAGACCCAAACCCACCAGTCGATGCCGTGGGAAAGGAGGAAGCTGCGCTGCTGAACAATGAGACACCAGCAAAGGGATTGCCTTGCGGTGGCAAGAATGTGCCACACTTGAAAACAGCTGAGAGAATCCAGCTGTTTCCGCTTTGAAACACATCCCTGCACCTGCATCTCTGGATTCAACGGCACTCTTGGGAGGCCTAAGATCGCTCCGTGCTGTGTCGTGCAAGGAAGACCATGACCAAACTTGTACTGTGAGCGCCACTGCACCAGGTCAGACTCTGCTGGCCTCTTCATGCCTGCCAGCGAAATTACTGAGCACTCTGCATACTCTGCGGTCTTCGTGAGATCGAACCTTCAGTCTGCTGGCCATGTTTGTCCAGGTGACCCCTTCACCCCCGACTACGTTTTTCTGTTATGCTACATGCTGCTGTATAGTGTTACTGCAGGATGGCGACTTTCCAACCTCTGCTCTGCGGTTGCGCTGTTCCAAGACCACATTGGTGAAGAGTTTGGTCGTGAAATTCGCTGTTGCGATTTTCATGCTTGTTGCTGTGAGCCAGACTCGATTTCGCGATGCACAAGTGCGACTTTTGAATGACTTGGACTCTCCGCCTCTCCGCTCATGATTACACTTCCCCTCCTAGCGCCCCGATCCTTCGACTCTTGAGGAACTGAAGCCAAGGTGTCAACCGGAAAAGACGTCAGAACCCTCAGCGTCCGTGCTCATTAGCAAGGTCCCAAGCGGCGGCATAAAGATCTACACAAAGTCTCCAATACATGTGGTTTCGAGGCCTTTGGTTGAAAGGTTGCGGCATTGTGGCACTTGCCGCAGTCTGCAAGATCTGGAAAAGGTTCATAGCATGTGATACGGGTGATACATGTGATGTTGTCAAGGTAGCGCTCCTGCTCAACACGACAGCATCATGAAACATTTGCCATTTTTGTGCCTGTGCGAATTGTGGTACTTTTTTGTGTGGAAAACGTGCACCCCGCCACATCTCTGTGCTCAGTTTTGCCTTCAGATCGTTCGAAATCGTGAAAGTCTTGTCGCGGCGCGTCGCCACACTCATTGGCTCCTAGGTGTGGTCTTGAAAGCTCGCTGTTTAATCACTTACGGGCAGGGAACAGTAAGCGGGCTCCTATGACCCCAAACACTGCAAGAGCAGCCAGAAATCCAAACCCTTCCAAGAGCAACCCTCAAGCTCCCAAGATCACCCCTGCGTCCACATGCCCACCTGTGGCGGGAACACGATGGGCACCCCACAATAGGCACCGCCGTCGCAGCAAGTTCGGGCGAGTCAAAGTATTGGATTTGGCAGTGGCTGCATGAAACGTCCACAGCACAAGGCTGAAGCACACTACCTAAACGTCTCTTAATCTATGTCTATGCTTGCAAGGAACAAGATGACTCCAACCTGTCGTAAACAGGTCAGAGCAGTTGGTTGATGAAAACAACATACTGCAAGTTAAGCAACTGAAGCGCTTATCATGGCTATAAGATCGAACTTTTAATATGCCACATGAACGAAGCCCTTTCGTCTTCTACCTGGTAACATACAAACTGACATCATTCACGCTACGATAAGAGTATATATATATATATATATATATATGTACACATAATATTATAAATACCGACAAACGACGAGAAAGGAAAGGAGCTGCTTTCAACAATGAACGGCATCAGAGAGCTCCTCGCATTCAATGTCAAGTGCAATGCATTGCATTCGTCGACTGTGTAATGTAACAGACAAACACATCCAAGGGGTGGGTTTACTCTCACATCACGTCGCGAGAACTCAGTGCAGAGACATGCGGTTGGAGACGCAGGAATGAACAAACAGTAATGTAATGAATCTGCTGAGACGCACCGTGGAATGGGCTCCACACGGCTCTGAACCTCACGTGCCAGTACACATCAACCGAGCCTAAACACCAGTGACAACGTGACATTCGCTTATCAATCCCTGAAGCTTCAAGACCTGACGAAACATCACAGGTGCTGAGCTGGCTTCGGTTTCTGTCAATAGGTTTATTCGTTGTTGCGCGCATGCTCGGCAGCGTGGATTGCCATGAAGCTTCAACCCGGCAAGACGATAATCAGATACACCGTTGTCGTAGTGCCTTGACTAACCTCATTCGCTCCGGAACGCATACGCAGTAACTCGGCCATCTACCAGCAGCCTCGAACTGTCCTGCAGCTTAGCTGAGCCAATTACTCCAAACCTGCTACGCAGATGCACTCCGTCGCCTTAAGACAAAATGCCCTCCTTAATGCCTCTGAATCAATCATTTGTGCGGCGGCGAGATGGAGCCAGCAGTCCCAACACCACCAAACACATGCTAACCCACCACGATCTTCGCATCTGTGTGGCCATGGTTGCTCAGACCTGGATATTTGTCCATCTGTGAACCGACCACGATTGCCAACCTTGATCTTCGGTGCTTCGGAGCCCTTAACCGTTAACCTGCAACGTGCCCCACCCCAAAAGATCCACTTCTTAAAAGATACATGCTGGCTTATGGGTGGAGCGAGTATGTATACATATAGTGTATATATATATATGTATACATACAGGTGTTCACAAAAGTACAGAGAGATAAGTTCGAAGGGCCCGCACAAGGGTTGGTTCATTTTGCAGATGGCTCATGTATGCGACTAGTCATCCGTTTGCTTGCCGTCTTACCTGCTCATTATGTAATCATGCATTCATTACATACTTTTTATCCTCTTAATCTGCATGTGGGCCGAATGTACTGCACTTCAGCTCCAAAATCAGTATCATCTTAGCATCTGTCCTTTGCAGTCTCTGCTTCGACATGGCAAGTTTATAGTCTACAGGAGGAACCTAAGGATCAACATGCTAAAATTCATGGCGTGGCAATAATTGCAAGTGTCATGACCGTCGTGTCACAAATCAGTGACAGCAACCAACGCCCACAACCTAAAACATGAATGCACCCGAGCTCACCACCGTGGACCGGGAAAGCCCGCCATCCTGAAAGCCCTGAGCCCCAACAAACCTATACACCAGACCCAATGGGCACAGGCCTCAACCCTGAACATCCTGAACCTGCAAAACAAAAACCTTGAAGCCCGAAACCCCTAGAGTCCCAGCTGAGACGTGCACAAATCCTGATAATCCGTTTAAACAACACTACGATGACAAACTCTGCAAACCCTAGACGTGCTAGACCCTCCTGAATTCCGTGTGCTTGAATCGCCGGTGCCCTACATCGCTGCTGTGCTTGAATCGGGGTGCTTGCATCTCGAATGAACAAGGCCCGAACATGTTGGAAACCGCCAGCTCTGACACGACCTTCTTCCATGTCTCTATCTGTGAAACTTTGTACTCTCTGGCCTTCTGCAGGGCTTCTTGGTCACCAAAAGAGAATTGCACCGAGACTTTGTCAGCGACGGGGAGCTGGGCTTCCGAAACGGCATTATCAGCAGCAGCATGAACAAACACCTTCATCATGTTGATGAACTCGGTCTTACTGTACGGTCGGATAGACGTGCAGCCTTTGGAGTCTGCGAAGGACACTTCACAGTTCTGGCCCAGGGGAGACAAGTCTTTCGAGTCGTATGACTCCAAGGAAACCGGTGCAGACTGGGAAGCTTGGGACCTTGACAGGTGGCTTCCAACCCACTGCGGGTTCTGCGTGCCCTTCGCCTCGGAAACGGAATTCTGCAGGGCGCTTGTCACAGGCGCGCAAACTTCGGGCACCGGGCCTGGCAGTTTCAATCTTTTGGCAAGCTGTTGTGCCTCGTTGGCTGGCAATGCGACATCGATGACGACGAAGCCATCGCGCTGCAATGCTTCCTTGATTGCCCGTAGCAGAAGCTCCCTGGCGTAGCGGGCTTTCCAGTCAGCACACCCGTGTCCCGTGTCTGCCTCAAAACATCGCTTGATTTCAAACCATACGCGTGCCCTGCTCATTCGAGTCTGACGAGAATCCGATATGTATTCCAGAATGGAGGGTTGCCTTTGTTCTGACTCTGCAAGCTCCAGCTCATCAAAATCAAAGGCCATCAAAGCCGGGTCGCATTGCTCAGCTACTGCCTTCTATCACTTCACTTCTGGAGCCTAAGTGCGCACAAATGCCCAAGCATGACGGCACGGAACAACATGCACACTGATTTCAAGGCTGGGCTAGACTCGACACGACACGACCGCGCAGACATGCGAGACACTTGAGTGCAGATTGCCATTTTCCCTCAACCTTCCCGCAGCAAGTCTGCTCCCTCGCGGAACCGCTGACGGCCGAGTGAAACACTTCTGCAAGTTTACAGACCTGCTGCTAAAATGCTGAGGGCACGCAAAAGCGCTGACAGGTTACTTATGCACCTGACCCTTGCAAAGATGTGGTGAAGCTTCGCTTTCTGTCTTCCGGATCCTGGACCAGACAGGACTGAAAACACAACGAACAGCGAATGAGCAAACGTTACAAGCAGCTGCCAGCTGGCACTAGTACATGGTTATACTTCTTGTCCCATCTTATCCCCATTGGCTTACAACTGTGCAGAGGTCTCCACGCCCTTTCGCAAGAGGGACTTCCAGGCACTCCGCAACATTGCATTTGATCCTTTTCGGCAACTATGTCAGTGCTGCTCTGACTGAAGGATCTTCGTCTGTCTTCGTCATCATCCTTCCTTTCATTCGATGGTCAATGTGTGTCTTTAGCAACAGGTGCAGCCGTCTTTCTGCTGGGCGTAGGGGTCGCGGTGCGACCATCAGGCCTTTGGCCCGCCCAACACCCTCGGCTGCACCCCAGGTGCAGCCGTCTCAGGCCGTCTCTCGCTTTTCTTCCAGACATAGAGGGCGGGCTAAGACCTCCGGCACTGGGCCCACCCGTCGCTTTCTTTCTCTTCGCTAGAGTTACTCTCTCTTCCACACAGCCAGGAGAGCGTCGCATCAGCTGGGGCCCCCTGCGCGATGTCGCCCACTGGGAATTACAGTGCAGACTGGGACAGTTGTTACTCTCTCTCTCTCTCTGTCTTTGCTTGGCTTTGCTTGGAGCAAGAGTTGGAGGCAGTCGCTCCAGCACGCGCCTCAGCGCTGCCCTTCAAATAAGCTCTCTCTCTCGCTCTCCCTCTGTCTCTGTCCTTCTCTCGCAAGGGTAAGTAAGAGGTGGAGAAGCGACCTCCACCCCCGCGCTCCCGGCACCCCCAGATGTTCTGGGACGCTTTCAAGCAAAGGCTGCGACGGCATGTTCGCTGTTACAGCTCGCAAGCAATCAAGGAATCACGGGAGACACCCCTCTGATCACACCGCGAAATAGCTTACAGAAGC